GAAGAGAACGTGCTAGCTGGCTAGATCAATAATGGCTTCTTCATGCTCAACCATCATTCATGCAGAAGTTGCCATGTTTTCTGAGTCGTGACAATATCGTGTTAAATAACGTGGTAGATACCCTGGCGAAGAATGAGTATAAGCAATCAGGGTATGTTTTCTCTCTCGAAGGCCAAATTCAATTGTTGGCATTAGATTAGAGGAAAAAGAGATACAACGAATGTGATGCCTGTCGTTGGAAATCGAGCCTTAGGTTAGCATTTTTTTTGTTCTCAAAAAACCCGATAGAAGGTGTGTGCTGCTTAAGCAATACACTAGAGTGCCACAATCCGTGTTATCTATCAGCCAAGCATCGAAGACGATTTTTTCTTTAAAATTCAAGTATCTCAATGCGGCGGCATATAACCTATCCCCCATGTGATGATAAACGTGACTTTCACTCTGATTGTAAAGACCAAATGCAACGATAAGAAGAATGCTCTCTATTTGTTCAACTACTGCCAAATTTCCCAAGATTTAAAACATACGGGATTTGTGGCCACTCTTTCGCTTCCACGAGTCTTTCCAACTTCATCCGCCCGGAACAAAAATATGTATCTGCCACGAATTTCCATGGATCAATCACAAAGCTCTTGGAGGTATATGGATATTTGCGTTTGTCACGAACCCTTGAATTCATCCACTTTCAGCTCTTGTTCATTCTTTAGTATTTCTGTCTGAGACCTTGGATTTCCTCTACTTTCATTGGTCTCATATCAATCAAAAGTCCCATGATCTATCAATTGATCCAACAGATTATTGATTTCGATCTGGGACTACATTTGCAAGTAACTACTCGTCACCAAATTCGCATGGCTGAACGAGGACTATATCCACCATCATCGACGTGCTATATGTAGCTAGTGTACTTTTGATCTCGTGAAGAACCAATCCCTCCGCCGACCTGTAAACAAGCATTAAAGAGTCCCTAATTTCATGGCGGCAACGCATGCATAAATTGTTCTCAGCAGATGTGTGAAATTCATATATAGAATATAAGAAATAATAGGCTTTATAGACACATGACCTCAAAACCTTTCGCCCATTGCGAAACGAGAATATATCTCTTTGTGAGATCAACATTGAGAAGTAAAGTTCAGTGTTAAGTTATTATGGATCTGTTATTATAAACTGCAAATCACAAGCCATATTCTTGCTTTCATATAAGTCTAAATTTTTATTGGCCTGGGCATTATCGTGTTACACATTACATGTGTTCGGATTAACAAGCTACAAAGCCAAACAGGAGTGCGACAAGCTTCCTCGTGGTTATCGCAGCTCACTCCATTTTGCCAGGCAGAGAGCGAGTTCTCTGTAACAAGTGAGCTCAAGCACCTGTGAAGTCGGCCGCATTCCTTCCGTATCGCAAGTCGTCGAAAACTGTTCTGAGAGAGAGCTCTGCCATCCTAGGAGCGCCACCACTATTTCTAAAATCCAACAACTTTTGTCAGCATAAGTTCGTGCTTTGCTCCAGTGACTACATATCTGAATTTCAAGAAACAGAATGTGTGTTCAACAAAGATAAGTTGAACAGCGGACCCATCGCATCTCCATCAAGGTAGTCAGATATATTAGTGCCGTGTAGTACTATTGATTGGTACAATTGGACATAAAAAAGCCAAGAAAAGGCATAATTGGGATATTGCATGTGTGTTCGGAATGAAGCTCGATTGTAATGCCAGAACTAACAGGCGCGATCGGACTAGCTTAGCAAGATATTCCATGACTAACTAGTGTATTTCTTCTGCTTTTTCTCCACTTTTTCTTAAGCTAGTGGGAGTAACGCCGGCTCGTTCTATCACGTATGCACAATAAAATAAGCCCGTCAGTTGTTCCCTAGTATTCACCGACGGTTGAAAGTTGTGAGTACCTGACTCACGTTATCTGATCACTACGGCACTTCGCTGATACCGCGAGAAGAAGTCGGGAACATGCTTAGCAGTAACATTGAGCAAATAATTATCAATCTCACCTTCTTCCGGACCCTACCACCAGTCCAATCTATCGTGCGTATCCATTAAAGTCATCTTCGACTTTAAGGATGGCTGTGTTCCAATATGGCAAATAGGCTATGAAATTCAACGTATGTTTTGCAAATTTGTGAACAAGGAAGAAATAATGAAAAAAGGAAACCTACCGAAGATCTCTTGTGGCGCACTCTTTTGTTCTGGTCTTAATTGTGATGCAGCACGTAAATGGAGGAAGGAGGCAAACATGCACAGATGAGGATGGGACAAGCACACTATTGTTAGCAGTAGAATTAAAACATGGACTGATTGATATATACACTTCACCGTATGTCTTGTCCAGTGGCGCCAAAGTCTCACAGAAAGGATATTTCAGAAACGGTAAACAGCTAATAACGGTCACAGTAGACTGACTCGTGCAACTTCGTGAAAGAACTCATCTGGTCGTAACAAGCAAGCGTTGAGCAACTGTAAACTTGGAGCAATCAGCTTCCAAAAAGATGATACTTTAAGCACCAGACTAAAGTCGTATCGAGGCTCGTGTGCACCCAAAAAATCCTTTGTGGTGGACACAGCATCACTTCTTTGCTCTAGCAACTAAGAGACGGCTGATGGCGCTCAACCTGAGAAAGAAGGGTACGACGATCGATGACGGCAATGGCGTCACGCAGACAGAAGCACAGAAGCCCCTTGAACAACTGAATTGAAATCATCACCTGTCTCTTGGAACCTCCATGGCGGCTCGCTTCTCCGGGCTCGGGGCTGAAAGCCATCTTCCAGGAATAATGCTTTTGAAGCTCCAAGATCGAGGACAGGCGATTCCCATTCAGCGGATGCTCTACTTGCCACGACCTTTGCAACGGTTCTTTCTCTGACTCATGCTCTAACGCTGGACGGTATGAAGAGTCTGCTCGAGCTGTGCGCTTCAACCATTCACTTGCCGGATGTAGCCTTAAATATTCTTTTGGAATGCCTCAAGCGCCAAAGTCCGCGTCTGCTTGCTGGGACCCTCAAACCAGCGATCGCCATGCATTTTGCTAATAACATTGTGGGCATCGCTCTGGAGCGTATCCATGGAGATAACGAACAACAAATCGTCAGATCTAGAATGCACATGCGACACAGCCTCAAGAAAAAATGAGATAGATTTCGCCTGGACGAAAGCATTTTCCGTATCGATTCTACCAAAGGTCGCTGAACGGCCGCTCCAAAGCCCACAAACGCGCCCTTGGCCAGAAAGCATGCATCGATGCACTTGTGGTCCAGAGTCACCTGGGCTTGGTTACGTTCCAGTGTTTTCAGCCACTCCCAGTATCCATGGAAGGATGTTTGTGGATCCTGACAAATTACGTCTCTGCCATGAAATCGCGCGCCCTGCTTGCTGCTATGTGGCGTTTCGTCAATACTGTTATGTTGCGAACGAGCTTTTGGCATCGGACAAGATCGCTTGTGCACCAGTGACACCATACAGTATTCAGACGGTCTTAGTGATCTCACAGCACGGTTTCAGCTCTCCCTGAGTGAAAGACAGAGAACCGCGATGCTCTCTGCTCTGGTGTAATCACTTGTTCTCATCTGGGGCTCATCAGGTACTGGCAAGACACAGACAATTGTCGCCATCATAGTTGGCCTGCTGGACCGGTTTCCAGTTGAGAGAATTCTTGCCATGGCGCCCACTTTATATGCAGTGGACAACTTGATGAGACGGTATCTTGATTACACTGGACGAACGGGCCCTACTGCTCTTAGAGTCTCAATCGAGGCGAGTTTCCTCCATTCCCACACTTTGTCGTTGTTCGTTTGGTAACCATTTGTCCATCAAGCTGTTTCTGACATGCAGGACAGGTTCGCAAAGCGGCTGAGAACCTCGGGTAATAGACGCTGGACGGCCGAGCAGAGAGATCTATACAAGTCGTACAAGTCCATGCAAGAAGCCAAGAAACGTGTAGAGTCCTGCCAAATTGCCTTCTCCACCTGCATCGGCGCCGGCATTGGTCTGTGACGATCCGAGGACTTCGGGCTCGTAAGAGCCGACGAGGCTTACCAGCAAACTGAGGCTTCATCTCTTATGCCGCTGACCAAGACGTGCAAGCAGGCGATCCTGGTTGGAGACGATATCCAGCTCCTTCCCACGGTGCAGGCCATCACTACGACCCTTGCTTACGACGTTTCGTTGTTTGAAGGCAAAATGAGCTGAGTGCTGTTGCTGCGGCATGGAAGAATCTCGTGGATATCTTCACAGAGGTCGTCAGGCTGCGACCATCATATTGGGGCGGTCGAATGATTAAATGCAATCGTCTCTTACTATCGGCCGTGGGTGGACTCGGCAAAGCGGGAAAGTGATGGTATTTTTGCGTCTGTTGATTGACAGCGTGTCATACTTGTGGGAGTTCGACCAAGTTACCCTGCCGCTTCAAGATCTATCGGATTGCCTGCTGTCAGCGACAGCGGTGCAATCTACACGTCGAGTATTTACGATGGCCAATTCGACGAATGAGGGTAGCTATCTTGGAGGTCAGCTGCACGGCTCCTGAAGAGGTAGTTTGCTCCTAGGATGCTCGTGGTTGGGGGGCCGCAGATCCAAACCAACTTGGCGGACCACATGGGCTCGTGTCAGATATCTGTCGATATATTGTACAAGGACATGCGAAGGCTCATGACGGACAAAGTGGCGGATATCCACGAGCTCCCATTGATCGCCCTGATGCTCTTGCCGGGCAGTCGATCCACAGCAGCCGGGTGCGTGCGGGTGACAACTGGGCGGGAATTCTTATGGAGTATGCGGTATATCGACAAGACTGCGACGAGCGCAGAAAATTGTCAACACTTAAGGAGACGCTTTGACAAAGGAGTTCCAGAACAACGGTCAAACTTACGGAGAACCAGCCAAATACTCCTAATGGCCCTTGAGATCGAGGGCGCCAGTCTCATTCGCGACGTTCGAGCCGACCTTGCCACACGCATGCAGAGCGCTGTCCATGGAGATGAGCCGTCATGCAATTGAACACGGGCGAGGTCAGATCCTCCGTCGTCGTGCCTACTTCGCCCGCAGACGGCGACAAGCTGATGCGCGTGCTCGTGGGCAAGCCGCAGAGCAAGCAGATGGACCACATGCTTACGTCGAAACTCGGCGGCTCGTTTGATCGTCAGGTCATACATCTCCCATTCTCCCACGCAATCAAGGCCGGCCAGGCCGAGCTCGCCGTCATCGACAAACTCTTACCTCGCTGCCAGACGTGGTCGCTTCTCACATGCGCGACTAGTCGAGCCGAGGGCTGAAGGCAAGCTGTTCGACATGCTTGTCGGTCGGGTGTGCCAATACGGTATCAAGGCTATCCCCATCGCTCAGGCTGCTCCAAAATCTTCGCGAGTACATCAGAAACCCTGCGGCACCGGCGACATCATAAGTCGTGTAAGCAGGCCCTTCCGCTGGTTTCTCGGCGGAGACTGCCAAGCACACGCTGCTTCTGCTCCGCGACCACGTCGCGAAAGGCATCCTCACCTTCGAAGCGGCGGAGGATTGACTGATGGATCAGATACTACCAGATCACCGCCAGCCAAACTGATCGTGTCTTTCCACGCCAAAGATCGCCCCTTTGCCCGTTCCGAGGTTTAGCCATCCGGGTGTGAGCGACTGCTACGAGGGCTTGAACGACAGGTAACTCAATGACGTGCTGGCCCCTTCCGACCACTCCGGCCAGCGCGTCAACAAGTACGTGACCTGGATCAAGGACTTCAAAGCCACTGAGTGCACTCAGCCTCTTGACCCAGGAGGTTCTGGTACGTCCCGCGCCTGCACATGCCACGTCTGTGATGCTAATGTCCTGCGAAGAAGTTTGTCGCCGCCGCCGAGGCTGCGTTGCTTACGCTTGGTGGTTCCCCGCCAAGGGTCGCGTCGGCGCTAGGGACCCCTCGCTGAGCCTGTGTCGGCAGCCCATGGCGGTCGGCTTACTTGGCGTTGGGTGATAGCTCCCGAGAGCTTAGCTCGTGGTGTTGTAAGTCGGACCTTGCTGCGTGTGAGACTCAACTGCGCTGTGACCTTCTCCAGCTTGTGCGCGAACGGCTATGGTGCACTGTGAGCGTGGTCAGTGTACCCCACACTTACTCAGTAGGTCCCCATCCCACAGGGGTCACGCATGTAGTCATTCCTCCACAATGCACATCAACCGTCACAATACGCACTCTGTACCCCTGCATGGCCATTGCATGCCATGCACCATAAAGGCACAGGCCGCCGATTTGGCACGACGCGTGTGCAAGGACCCCAACCGTGGTCAGTCACAGCATGAGGTTCAGCCCACGCTGTTTAAAAGTAGCTCAGGTCATGGCCGCTTTTGGGCCACGACCGCGCCAGCAGCTTCCTCCTTTTTCTTCTCCTGCCTCTCTAGCATCGCGAGGCGTGCATGCGCGCCGCTTCCAGAACGAGGATGCTACCCCACCTCCCTGAAGAGGTCATCTTGGACATTCTCAACAACCTCGTCCCTACCGAATCTGCCACCAGCAACACTGTCAAAGACCTCCAGCCCAACTTGAGATACCTGTCTTATGCGAGTCGCGTCTCTCGTCAATTACGCCGTGTCGCGGAACCTTTACTATACCGCTACATCTACCCGACGCGTCAGCTGCTCGAGACTCTGTGCGAACGGCCCGAACTAGGCAATCATGTGCATGAGGTTGGCGAGTATAGACCGCCTTTGACCTCAGAGGAACGCAAAGCCGTCAAGCCACTCCATGATCGAGTCCATGAACTCGCGAAGGGTATTTATAAGTGGCCAGTGCTTGACGCGTTCCTGGAGGACTCTTTTCGTCCCGAATTGGCTGAGAATGACAACACGACTGATTTCCGCGACGACAACACGACCTGGCTTCCATCAATACTCTGCCTGGCACCTCATGTCCAGAGGTTACACCTTAATGTGTATCAGCTAGAGTGCAGGAAGCTCAACATGCTTGCGCAGCTGTTGCAGTTGTGCGAAGACCGCAAGGAGGAAGGCGGAGATGCAGCATCGAGAACGCCAGCGCCGCTGTCAAAGCTGCGGTCTCTACACTTGTACGCAAAGAGCGATCCCTACCACGCTTTCCTCTACGGGTTCCCACCCCAGGACTGGCTCTGGTTCTACTCAACGAACATCCGCCCGCTAGTGCGGTCTACCAAGCTTCGGACATTGAAGACTAGCGCAATAGACTGGGGTCTCACGAGCATGGACCGACGCCCAGACGCCGAAGAGGCAGAACGGAGGGACGACAGCATATTCCCTGATGGACCACCGCGCAGAGAGCTGTATACCTCCCGAGGTTCTCATCCGAACTTAGAGAGTCTAAGTCTCTGCGACAACCGGTCTCCTGAGCCCTGTCGCGTGAAGGAGATGCTGGAGGCCTATCCTAATCTCCACACTCTCGTCCTGAAGCCAAGTCAGCGCATGGCGCGACAATCTTTTGACTTCAGCGAGTACGGCATTGTACTCCGCGAACGTGCCACGGGCCTGCGCTGTTTAGATTTGGAATTTCCCGGCATTTCCCACTCTGAATCGGACGGTGGCGCGATCGGGTCTCTGAGGCACGAGTGTACTCAGCTAAAGCAGCTGCGTTTGCCCCTTGCTGCACTGCTTGGCCTGGATCCACCCGGTAAGCTGGACCTGTGTGATTACTTGCCGATCAGCCTGCGCTGGTTCTGGACCACTTTGCCGGAGAAGAAAAAATACGCGGAGGTGTGTTCCAACGCGCTGGCAAGGATGCTTGACGACAAAAGGTTACCACGGTTGGAATGGGTTCTGGTCGTCCTGCCTGAAGGATGTGAGCTTGAGCCCACAGGATTCCGCGCGTTGCGACACGGCGAACACCATGTTCTATATTGGAGAAAGCCAACCTGTGTCATACATACGCCGCCGGGGTGGGAGGATGCCAATGTCGAAAGGGGCGTGGCGCTGCCTTAGAGGCCAAGTACGGAAAACAGGGGCGTAGCCATTTTCTACTGGCTCATTCATGAGTGCAAGGTCGACGACCCAAAGGGGAATGGACTCAGCAGGAGTGGGAGTTGGAGAATCGACGCCACGAACGCATGTGCCAAACGGGCAGTTATTTTGCGTACCTGTTCCGTCTGTATAGGAACCTCTAGACCTGCCTGTGTACTCAGTGAACACATGACGAAACTCGTTTGCCAAAAGTAACATCATCTCATGTCACGTCACTACGGTTCTCTCTGCAATCGCCCGAAAAGGGTTGTTGCTACCTAGCTCATGCTATTGCCCCGCGATCAGCTGATGGAACTCAACCTGGAAAGGAAGGGAACAACTGTTGACCGCAATGACGTCAAAGAGACAGAAGCACAGAAGTCAGCTGAAAAAGGTCGGAATCGAGTTCATCCAGGAATCCAGACGCACCGGCTCAAAGGCGAACGCAGGCTACGCACATGCCACGACTATGATAAATGCCGAGAAATATGACTGCTCCTGTGACCTGCCACTTGAGCGACACAGTCACCCTCCGTAGTACTGCAAACGCGCATGGGTGGCGATTCAAGGGCATCCCTACTCGACTGGAGGATGCTAAGGTCACAAGCAAAGCGTCAGGGCGACCAAAGAAGCATTGGAGGGCCCTCGCTGGGACGACCTCCAGAGCTGCATCAGGTATATGAAAGCCAAGAAACTGCTACAGCAGAAGGCCGAGGAAAACAACCACAAGAAGAAGGAGAACCCCAATTGTGTCCCCGAGACAGCGTTCTATGCGTTCATACCGTGTGACGAGGACGGATCAGAAGCTGACCTTCCAGTCGTTCAAATCTACGTGACGACGGCAATCCCGAGCCCACTGCGCGACTCTTGGCTCCTCGATCGCTGTGCGAGCCAGCTATCACGAACGACAAATCCCTTGCCGCTCCAGGGTCACATAGAACAGCGATGGAGACTCGCATGGCCCTCGCCGGCGCATCCAGCTTTGACATCAAGTTGAGGCTTGGCCGAGAACATCGGCCGGGTCAATCACAGGTGCCTGTCGTTGTGGTGTGCACGCCATCGCAGCTTGTTGCCTGATCCTCCATACCCGTGCCTCATCTTTGATCCTTGCCAGCATGAACCCTTTCCTTGCGTGGCCGGAACCATCGTTGCCCAGCTTTCGACTGGTCATTCCGAGATGGACTGTCTCCTGCAACACATACAAGTCTATCTGCTCCTCCGCCTGATGCGCATACCTCCTCTTGAACATGGTCTGTACAGGTGCCCGGGGTTTCAGTCGTCTTGCACCGGTGTCGTGCTCGGCCTGCAGACGGCTTTTCTGCTCTTTGCGTGTTCGACCACTTTGCTGATACCGTTTAGTGGAATCGACAGCTAGCGCCCCGCCCACCTGTTGAAACAACAGCTTCAGGTACTCTGCTGGGCTAGCAGGCGGTTTGCCGTTAGCGAAAAAGCTCTCATTGCCGAGGATCATGCGAGCAATATCCATGCCAACCCATGTCAGTGCCTCCTTGAACTTCGCTGCTGTCGCTGGATCGATGCCACCATTGTCCTCCTCCTCGATGCTGAGCATCCCTTCCTTCTCTAGTGCCTTGAGTAGATGCATCGCGCCGCCGATCGACTCACACACATCAGCAACAGCGAGCCCAGCATCGCGAACAACAGGGAATCATAGACTGGCCAGTCCGGCACGCAACGCACGGTGGTGAGCAAGTCGGAGATTAATGGCACCGCTAGAACACGGTCGTCTTTGAATTTCTGCTCGCCGGTTATGAAGTGCCGAGGGTCTAGCGATGGGTCAAAGCTGCTGTACGTGCCGTCTATGTACGCGGTGAGCTCGTCATAGATCGAATAACTGAAGTTGTCCGTGATCAATGGTCCACAAACGAAGATCACATCCTCACCCCAGCCTTTCAGGCGAAGCTGGAACGCGTGCAAATCAATGAGCAGCTTCTTGAGGCCGCCGCTTCGATGAGCGGCGTGACGTCCTTGAACATGTCCCTGGCGAGCCGAGTCGCCATATCCGTCGCTAGGGTGGCTGCGGCCAAGTCAAAAACCAAAACAAAACCCGCTTTCATAGTTTTCCCACATCCATTTGACGTGCTGGGACTTGTACTTATGGGTTGAAGCAGAATACGGTCATCGCGAGCTTCTCAATCTCAGACCGACGCTGCCAGTTCCGAAGTGCCTGTCGCTCAGTAGCCGTGACATCAGCGCTTGAAGTTGCCAAGGGGTTATGGAGTCCGGCCTTCACGACCGGGTGAAGACTTGTGTCATCTAGGCCATCGTTCATGCAGCATGACGCGACGTGTCACGCGCAGCTTTCTTCTCCCCAACACTATCGTAGATAGCTGAGGTTCTTGGCTTGCAGTGGTGTAGCCCGCTGTCATGCCTTATGTTTCCCATCCTGGTTCATGGCAACTTGTTCCCAGGCATGGCACCAAAACCTCTGAATCTCTGCGATGGGGATCCATCACACGGCCGCTCAATAGACAAGAAGTGGAACGCCGACTAAGCCGTGGGTTGGCAATTGATTGAGGGTGTTATGCCCAATTGATGTCAGGCCCTTTTCACTCCAGCCCAGTTGACAAGATCCCTGCCTTGCAAAAGTGCGGCTGTGCACGAGTACAAGGCTCGAAGACGCAGGCATGGAATGAGCGTGGATGGTGCTGTACGTCTCGTGAAAAGGTGTAGAGCAGGCTATTCATGCTTCGATGTCCTGTGCGGTGGAAAACCTGTCGTAGTTCATTGCTGAAGAAAGATTCATGGCGCGAAGCAAAGGCCGCATGCATCACGTCCAGCAGGATGAAGGCAGCCTACGTACGAGGGCGGATTGCTGCGTCCGCACTATATCTGTGCTGCCAACAAGTGGCAGCCATAATGCTGCCTGGAATCATCAGAGGCCAGACACTGAAGAAAACAACGGATCAGCACGGCATTATGGGAGCAGCAGACCCGCCCTTGGAAAAGGCTTGTAGAGAAGGCGCTAGAGCAGGGGCGAAGCATGACACAACTACAGAAGCAGATGCCGAGGGCAAATGATAATGATGAAGATATTAGGACGTGCCTTCACAATTTCTGGACCATCCATGATTCGGGCACGTGCGGATACACAAGAGAGAGCGGTTTTGGAGACAATGCTCACCGCCGCTGCTTTAAACCCGCGGCTAACGGAGGCACTGTTCATTTTGTCGTTCGACCTGGTCACAACGGACCAGGGCCAGGCGTCTTCTACTCGACTGGCTCGTTCGACCACGCGTTACAGTGACAGGCAAGATACGAAGCTAGTTCTATATGTATCGTCTCGTCAAGTACCATCATCTTCTTCCAGAAGCTCATGACGTACGTTCGAGGCCTTGGTGACCTCTGTAGTCAGAGGCAAAGACAGACGTCTGAAGCCACCGCTAGTCTTTCTCATAGGTTCATGGGTTCGTGGGTTGGTTAACAAGATCACTCGCGAGCACTATTTCATCGAGCTGCCGAAGGCTTTCCTCTCGCTATATCCCGGGGATCGGTCTAGCGGTGTCGAACAGCGATTCCAGAGATTACATAGAAATTATCTCAAGCTCGTCGCATCAGTCGTGGTATGAGGAGGCCTATTCTATCCCTCACTGATTCGGAAACATCTTGCCACTTTGTTCTGGTCAACGCAGGTAGTCTGGGGACACTGAAGCATGACAAGTATGGGACTTTCATTCCGAGACGGTTGTCGTTACACTCAATTGTTAGTGAAATGGAGCTATCGAGTGTCACCTTCAGATTCCAAATGGAGCCGCCTGGCAAGCCAGCATGCCTTCCAGTGAAGAAGGATCCAGATATCCTCTGGCAGACCTCCTTCATCCCAACATCCCTGCCGGGGCGGCCCCTGCGCAGCCTCCGGGGGCGCAATGAGGGCTTTCATAGTCAACAGATAACACCGCAAGCAGAGTTAGAGAGTACAGGCATCTATGTAGCAATGCCAGCCGGGCGCGCTGTGGGATTCACGGTTCCACTGGTGGGTGACGACAATGCTATTGTCGTTATGTCTTGTGCTGGGTCTTGGTCTACAACATCATCTCGGTTGGCAGCTCATCAAGAGTCTTGGATGGAAATGCACTGGACTACATAGAATCATGAAACTTTGAGAGTTTTGATAAAAACTAGTAGACAAAAAGTCGCATCGGTGTTTTAGGAGTACCACGCGGTGATATGTATAACGATGGCCTGAGAGTTTCCGTCTTAAACTTGGGTACATTGACGCGCGAGAAGAGAAAGCCCGCAAGTTTGCTGCTACCTTGTCAATCCGATAGCCACATATATAGCTGGTACACGCTGCCACCGGACACGCTCCACGTTCGCAGGCTGCGAGGACTGGTGTCCATTTTGAGCACGGTCTCATGGCCAGTAGACTCTCCAGCCTCATCACTCTGCATTCAAATGCTGACAAGCGAGTGGCAGTCCTGTTGGTCTGACGATCAAACGATACGCCGCAGTAGCTGCCGGTGCAGAGTCGTTTCGTCCTAGGATGGTGTACTACAGGCAAGTAAATTGCAATTGATTAAACGCGCAGACTTGAAGGGGTACATTCTGTGTCGAGCCCAGAGGGGAAACTGCGCATCATGATGGGCGAACCATCACTTTTGGATCCGCACAACTGACGGCTCGGGGTTTAATTAGAGCTCGGTGAAAGCATCGACCCACGGGGCATGTGGCTCACTTCTCCACCCTTTAAAAGCCTCGGAACTCTGTTGGTAAGGCGGCGGCCGACGGCGAGTTTTGCAACTGGCAAACGATCATCGCTCGTCACAAGAACAGCTTCTCGCTCGAGTGCCTCGTCGCTTTGCGGACCTGCGAGCAGGCCAGAGCACTCGGACGGGTCCTGCATTATAGAGAGCCAGTGGTTGACTGCATGCCTCCCACTATTATTGATTCGGATGAGAATGCAGCCTGGCAATTTCCGGGGACCTGGGAGCAACTGGTTAACTGCGCCATCACAGGGGCTCGACACTGTGATAGAAGGGCTTTTTCTACGGAGTCCTCTCGGGCAGCCAGGAACAAACTGACGAAGCTGGAGAGAGGCGGCGAAACACTTCAGGCTGATGCAGAGCGAGACAGACCAAGGTGCACGGTCGGATGGTGGGAGACTAACTCTTGGACCTTGTTGCGGGTGTGCTTTGCCCCACTTTACTTGCAGTTTCGTTCTTGATGCCCGAGCTCGATTGAAGTCCAAGGGTTCGCCGAGCGCGCAGGCAACGTCCAGGACGAGGCAGCTCACGGCATATTGAAGCACAAGCATAATTTCGGCCTGGCGGCTGGTGCCGCTCAACCTGCACGGAATGGACTAATTTGGCGCCTGGGGGGCGCCGCGATGTGGCAGCCATGGCGGCGTCCTGAGCTTTTTCTTTTTAGCTGTGTGCACGCACTCTGGGCGGGATGGAAGCTTGCAAGCAGGCTACATTTGCTTGGGGCCGGGAATCTTTCGGTGCGCAGCATCCTAGGGTAAGAACAACAGCACTTGCGTGGTGCATGGGGCGAGCAGCGTGGACTTTCATGGGACATAGTGATTGGGGGCACGGCTTATGGCAATCTGTAGTGTCTGAGTTGTGAGCTCCACCATGGCGCATTGCTGCCTGATTGTCCCGCTCGGTTTGCTAGAGAGCACAAGAAAGGGCTCCAAAGCCGTAGCCAAGGTACCCAGCCGTCTTCTCTCCTGCAACACCCGCTCGAACACCAGGATTTGCATCCCATCGCCGCGGCTTCCCAAACACCCTGCCGTGTATGCGCAATGGCCAGCGACTCATTGCATATAACATCGATGTTGCCCACACTTTCTTCCACGTGGCGGCCCTTGCTCGTCTTGATCCCTACTATCATCAACGTCGCCAGTATTTTCAGCGATCCTCTGAACACAGCTATCAACTCGATCTCGACAAACCATGAAATGCCTTATTGGCGCATAGTACTGGACGCAGGACTGCTGGGTCTGGTAGAGTGGGCCTATTTTCCGCTCAAGCGAGGAGCACCAGACCCGACCACAATAGGCAGCTCCATCGTTCTGCGCCTCATGCGCTACTTCCATATGATAGTAGTCGACATCTCTGGTATTCTGCACACTCTACTTCTTATGGCAGTCTCTCCCAGACAGGCTGATGGGCCCCCGTGGTTTAAGACGCTAGGTTGGGGTGTTGTTGTGCTGTTTGTTCTCCACATGAGCTGGACTTTCAAGTGTCTTCTGGTCGGACTCGATCACGACGCACAAAGAGACGCGCAAAGGACTAGAGCGAAGCGATAATACGTACTGAATTCTGACCCGACGACATCAAGCACGAGACAACACACTTTGTTGGTATGGATGAGAGGCGCCACCTGCGCAGCCTTCTCGACCAATGGTCAAAAATCCGAAGATGACGCGACAACGAGGCGACAAGCATGCGTTGACACCGAGGCGATCGTCACACCAATTGTCCCGGCCACTAGAAGCACGCCGCCCAACGTGGGTCTCAGTCGCGGCGGCCTCGCAGCCCAGGAGGGGCTCGTGGTAATGACCGGTCGTCATACCAGAAAAAGGCGAGCGGCAGGCTATCATCTTAGCCTCTCGAGGTGGCTCGCTCCTGCAGAATGAAACTAGGGTCATAAGTCAAAGCACCTGGATTCCGACACCTATATCAACCAAGACAACACCTTTTTTTGATTGCGAATAGCTTAACATATTTCGACTCTAGAGATCCGTGTTTCCAATGTATAAGAGGGAACTGTGTTTATTATTATCATTAGTACGCGTACTAGTTAGGTTTCGCGAGCCTATGAATCTATCGTATCATAAACCATGCCGGAGCTGGATGAAAAGTATACGTTACGTATTCGGTACGCCTAAGCGGCGTCTGCGCTGCGTGGTTCCGTCGCGTGTCACGAATGGCTCTCACTAGCCAGACGTTCTTTGGGCGAGATTGGTCGCCTCCCTCCACGCCTCCAAACCGGTGCAGCTCCTGGGTATGTGTGATTTCGGGGCGCGCGCGCACCGCCAGAGCTGCGTGGGCGCATCGTTGACGGCGCTCCCTCTTGCGGAGGTCGTCGTCGTCGTGATTCCTTCTCTCCTCCTCCAAGCCATCGTCAACCTGTAAGTGCTCCTCGCCGGCCGCATCGAAGTCGCGCGGCTCCAGCGTCACTGTCGAGGGCTTCAAGCTAACCTCCTTCGCAGCAGTCGCAGCAGGAACAACAACAACGATGGGTATGTCGTCGCCTTAAACCTCCAACCTCACCTTCTCTTCACCTGCTAACTTCGCAATTTTTCAGACCCCAACCCTCTCAAGCGCACCCTCCCCGGGGACGTGGAGGACGAGGCGCACGCGCGGCTCGGAACCGTCGCCGCCGGTGCCTCTGCGGTCATGGGCGAGGCAGGAGAGTTGCTGCATCTCCAGCAGCAGCAGCAAGCTCCCCCGGCCCCCCGGACCCCCTCGCCGCCTCCACAAGTGGACGGCCCGTCCTCGCCTTCGGCGTCGGTGAGTGTCGCTCGCGCTTCGTATCCGTAGCGTCGTCGTTCTCGCGCAGCTGATATATTTCCGAGACAAAATTCAAACATTACCAAGAGCGTCTAGACCAATGCATGAAAATTCGTAACAGATATATTTGGTGTTCCTGGCAGACGAAGAGCCATCAAAACTGTAAGGCCCGTGGACGCCATCGATACGGCGCAGGGCTGGCCTGGCACCGATTCGGTGTCGATAAGGTGGAGATGCCCAATGTGCACAACTGTGCTGCATCTACCGAGGTACGAGGAACGCAGACAGTGGGAATGGCAATCGTCTTCAATGCTTGGTTGATAGATAACATAGATAGATGTATGTTAGAATTACATTTACATTGTCCTTGAAAATGAAAATCATACAATCATACGTATTATGGCGCTCTAGTGTGTTGTTTGCTTGAAAGGCATGCAGCATACAGCTAGCGTATAGGGATTCTCTGCAAACATACAAGCGAATATCATGATTATCTACAAAAGCGCTACCTGAAGCGGCGGCTTCCAACAGGAGCAATGACGTTCGTTGTATCTCTTTTGCCTAAACAATCACCCTCCCAGTTCCGATATCAGCATGATGCGCCAATGCTGCAGAGGTACTGTACAGGCTGGCATGATTGTAGAGCAGGAGTCGCACGAGGCAAAGCTCACACGTCAGAGTCCATTCACAGCCAGGTGGTGCTCCCCCCGTTGGCCACCCTCAAGATGGCGCGCTGGAATCTGCTGTCGAAGGTAGGTCTAAGGACTAACAGCTGGAACCAGCAAAGACCTGGGCATTGCGCGATCGGTTAGCCCTCAACTCTTACGGAGCACACTCGAAGGTGAGCAGGCGACTTTCTTAGATCGCGCCCAGTAGAGCTCTCAAAAGATTTCGACAGGCAGCAGTATGGGCGCGTTCCATCTGTGAAGGTCCAGCTGCGTGCAACACTCTTACAGATGTGTTTTCTCTACATGCATCTTGATTGTCTCCCAATTTCACCACCGATCAAGATAGGCCCAACTAGATGATATGATGGACTGCCTGCGAACTTTGCTAATCTAGAACCTAGCCTGTGCGAAAGAGGGCTGGGAGATCGCGGTGTTCTAGGAGTCGTTATGCCAAACGGAGAGCGGAGATGTGAATCACTCTGGGCTAGGGGATTAAGCTCCAACAGCTGGAAATGGCGCCGTTGGCTGGGTGAAGCTGGCTCTGGCGGTAATCCGCAACTGAGGAAACTGCTCCTATGGAGTCGGCCGACGCTATGCGAAAATCCCCCAGAGATGTGAGATGTAGACTGAGCTTGCACAACTGATTATGTGCGAGTCGGCGCGGCCAGGAAGTACGTCGTGACTGGTTTGTTGACAATTGCGGATGAACACTTGTTCGAAAGTGACTGCGTTCAACCACGAATGGAGGCGCGAGTTCAGTCAAATGCGAGCCATGGATGAGACATCCCTGAATTCTGGGGTCAGTGGCAGGAGCGGGTCCACGCCGTGCCTTCCCGGGAAGCTCAGAAGGCATGGAGGTGAGTGCCCCACTACTTCGGTACCTACGCTAGCGTAGATTGACCCCTCAACCCTCTAAATAATTTATTTGTTCTAGGCCATGACTGCGCTGCCCCGTCATCGTTCACCTCAGCGTATTGATGCTGACTGCTCGCGTTGGTACCAAGCTCCCTGGTACAGATTCGCGCCTCAGTGCGCCAGCGACACCCTGAGCCACGGCGCTACACCGTGAGTGAGAACAAACACAGGTCAAGTGCCCGCTGATCAGCCCATACACATCACTATCACTTCAAGAGACAGCGCATTCCTGATGATCTCATAGCCTGACTTCTACAGCACTAGTTCTTCACTGCCGAGACGCCATGGGCCATCACTCCTGCAAATTCGCCCGCCGGAGCTCCGGGCAGTGCACTGCTGGACGCAGCACAGCGCAGCCACGCTGACAGTCGTTGCTCCCGAGGTCTGGCCTCCAGCACATCTCGAAGTGCCAGTTCCACTCTGACGAACTCCGAGAGGCATGACAATGACACGCTGTCGGTTGTCCGATGCAATGAGGCCGCCACCCTCTGATTCTGTCGAGTTCACCCACGGCTGATGTACAAGACGAATGCATCGCCATCCGACAGCCTCAAACTGCACGGTCACAGCTTAACCTTTGCGAAACTATCCACGAGACTTCTCTATGTCGCAGCAGCATTACCTGGCCCATTTTGCCCCCAAATGCGCCGGCGGAAAGTGCAGCACGGCATCCCAATACAATAAGCCCGCTACTCGCCCTTGTCAAGGCAACATTCATCCTTCTCAGATCCCCGATAAATCCACTCTCACTGTGCTCATTGCATCGCACTGTGACGAGAACGACAATGTCCGCGTCTCAGCCTTGATGGCCATAAATAGTGGACGCTTCAATGTCCGCTCCAAGCCCTGTGAGGCGGTGCCCTTGAGCTTCGATTTGCAGCCAGCACGCCACGTCAGCCGTCAAGCGCTGAGGTCGCACATACGACAAACTATCCTACCTGGCCATTCGCGACTAGTCCCTCGAAATTGGCCTTACTGATGTCTACTGCACGGAAGCCCTCTCCCACCAACCCACGACTCCTATCTTTCTTCCTCTGTCGGGAAACCGATTCAAAACTCAACCACGCCTCGGCCGTGCTGCGAGGATTGATGTACCTCTTGATCCGTCAGTGCCCGACCCTGATCGAGCATATCGAGCAAAACATGTTGGGAAACAGCTTTTTGAGGGCGAAGATGCGTTCCATAAACTCTCGACGGTCTTCACCAGTATGCATGGCGGGTGCCCTAGCCCCTAGGTGCAGCGCTAACTGCTCGCGCGTCAGTGATCAGTCAGAACAGACACAGGTCAAGTGCCCGCTGATCAGCCCATCCCAGTCACTATTTCTTCAAGAGACAGCGCATTCGTGCACATTAACCGCCTGTGGCGTGGTTACGCAGCACCAGGACCACCCACATGCAGTCCACGGTGCCTTTGCACCTGTATGACTTTCCACTACTGAACCCAGTCGAATAATTTCACACTCGTCTTCGTCTTCGTCTTCGTCTATATCAAGGCTCGTGTCCTGCGCTATTTTCTGATCCAAGATCGCGACCGCCGGCCACTCAATGGCTGAGTACCATCCTTAACACGGACACTATCGTCGTTGCGAGTGTGTTATCGTGTAACTTAAATGGCAGTATGAGGAGGTTCTCACAAAATTGCCAGGCCGCCGGCCTCGAGCCACAGGCCGTTGCCACCGGTGTAGCCGGTTGACGGTTGATAACGGCACGGTTGGTAGGGCTGAAGCGAGTTATCATTCCGGGCTCAATCGATGACAGCTCGTGAACTTGCCCTGCGCACAATCCGATGGCAGTCACGCTCGAGCTGGGCTTTCAGAAGCATCTGGGAACGATGCTCCACCGCTGTGAGCGAGGGCTTCAGACTCCCTCTTCGACTGGCTCAGTCAACGGCAGATGTACAGTTGACAACGACCACCTCAGCATGGAAAGTGTGCTGTCCGCAGAGGGGCATTAGCCGGGTCTCTACCCGAAACGTAGCATGCTTTGCCCGCTCTCCACAACCGTTCGCTGCAATCTGGCCGTCATTTCCGTCGTAGCTTTGGTCCACATCGAAGAGTCGGGAGACCACGTTGTTTCCAACTGGGATACAAGACACCGTTGGCACCGCGGCATGGACATCTCCCCGTGGGCGTCGATCAGCGCATTGCACATTCGGCACGCATCTTTGCTCGAAGACACTGCCCGTGGCAACAATGGGATCGTGTCGCGGTCGATTTCGTAGAAGTACAACAGGTTGACCTCATCGTGGACCTTGCCTTGCTTAAGGTCTGGCATACCCGTGTGTGGAAGGCTTGTTCAGGGGTGATTGTGAAATGGCTGCATAGTGTCTTGATGGTCGTTTGTTCTTCGCCATTTTGGAAGGCCGGCCTGGCGAGGACGTCAGTGGACCCTACTGCGGCTTCGAGCATGCCGTGGTGGTCCGAGATTCGCATGCGACAGTTTGCTCGGGCAAGACGACTGAGGCAAAATCCGCGCCGCGCAGTAAAGGGCAGCACCTAACACCACGCAGCGCCAGCTACGAGGCTATGTGTACGCCGACACCATAACCCGGCTGATGAATAACTACTAGCTGTTCAAGCTGAGCCGGCCTTAAAGACGTGGTCGCTCTTGGAGGGTTAGTACTTGAAGCCTTGCCCTCGCATCTCTGCAGGACATAACCTTAAGGCTGCAAGGCTCACGCTACAAGCCCACGGAGCCCAGCGTGGCCAAGAATTCCGAGAAGGAGTCTGCGAGAAACTGCTTCATCCTAGCGGCATCTTTCCTGAGTTAGGATGGAAACAACGAAGACACCTCCTCAGTATCATGGCTCTGAGACATCCTTGCACGCACGTCTGCGATTGTGTGCTGCGAGTTGCCCTTGATATGCTGGACTAAGAGGCGCCAGCCCACCTCGCTGCGCGATGAGAAGTCAGTTTGAGCGAGTTTGATACGGTCTACTATGCCCAGAGGATTTTGTCAAGCGGGCGGTTGTGGCGGTGTAGATGTATTTGTAAAACCTACTGACCTGACCTACCACATGTCTGAGAGGCGAATGCGGCCCTGAGACAGGCACGCACGTGAACATCAAAATACACCGGTACAGCCCTCGGCGGCGGTCGTAGCTCTTCGCCGAGACAAGTACTAGGTCGGGCGAGCAGCACAGGCCCAGGCAGAAGGGCGGTCAAGTTGTCGCAAAGTTCAGCCTCAAATTAAGTCCGTTGTCCCAAATGATTATATTGCCCGACGACTGTCTCAAAACCTGCCGTTCCTGTCTGCTCTCTCCAACAAGACGATGTCTTGGAGACCTTGGTCCTCGCCATCAGCAAAATGAGCGACCAGAGCACAGCGCTTTCACAGCCGACGTCCAAAAAGCGGGCGCAACAATTGGATAAATACGCCACTCAGTCAATCGCTGCATTGTGACAGACTATCTCTCGTCTATCTTGCTCACCCTCGGCTCAGCTGTCGAGGTGCCGGCCGCTCCAGTGTACAAGGAATTCATTACATTCCTCATGGCCGCGCTGCTGCGGGAAGCACATAAGCATGACATCGAAAGCGACCTTCTATCCATTATGACCTCGAAAGTCAGCCAACGCTTGCGTAAGCTAGGTGCCAACGCAACACCTGGCTCCGGAGATATGGAAGCTCTGTCGTCAGGGATACAAATCTAGTCCTGGAGGACTGGTGGAAGGTCATCTGCAAGAATGACGCTCACAACCCCGACTATGCCTCCCTTACAACCCTCGACTTCTACAAGGACACTTTCGCCTCGCTACCGGATCTGGATGAATACCTCAAGACAGTCAACCGGCTCGCTCTGCAGGAGCCGGTGGCCAGGTTCTCGCCCAAGTGTAGCCTCCATCTTCCTGACCCCAGAGAACCGCCCCGTGTACGTGCATACGCAGACGACTACCACGACTTCAACCTGGCAGGTGTTGAGAGCTGGATCGAGTCTTCCTGGACGATTGGCTGCCACGAAATTTTTCGGATATGCCCACTTGCGGAAAGTCTACAACTTGCTTTGCGAGTACCATGCAGCCGCCCACGGGACTTACCAGAACAACCCAGAGGCCACCTCCCTTATGGTTCTGGCCTGCCTCGAGCTGTGGATCGCTTGCAACAAGTCAGCACTCAAGATCTGCCCCTTGCTCAGCAAATATCATGACGCGAGTGTGCAGCCCAGTTTGATCCGCGCCCTGCTTCAGAGCCTGATCCTCCTACACAAATCACAGCTCGAGAGGCTCAAGCGCATCGAGTCGTACCTCGACTTGTGTTCGGGTGATTTGAATGCAGCAAGGCCGTCTGTCTTCGACAGCTTTGGCAAGACGAACGCTTTCTACGTGGGGTACTATGAATCATCTCTGGAACAGCAGCAGTTGTATGCTTACATTGAACGCCAGGCCAATGGCACACGTCAGCAGAAGATGATCGAGCTGGCAAACCTGCAGAGGCAGCACGCGAGTCTCAAAGCTCAGGCCGATGTGATGGTTTGCACCTACCGCGATGTCATCGACACGTATGGCCATCGGACTCGCAAGCACACCAGCCGGAAGTGCAAGAAGTGTCGGAAGGTGCGAGAGTACCAAGCATTGGAGATTGGAGTGCACGAGTGGCCACTCCCGAAGAGAATTACGGAAGCGCAGAATGTCGTGTTCGAGCTGCGACCCCCAAAGTGGTTCCCGGCCTGGAGAGATGCCACAGCCTTCCTCCTCTTCGATGTCCTGTCCCTGTCGTCCTCGTTCATCTCGAAGGTGCAGAAGATACATGAGCTATTTGACTATAAAGCTCTCATGCCTTACCGCTCAGCCTCGAGGAGCCAGAAGATCACAGTGGTTTCTCAGGCAAAGTCGTTCCTCAAGTCGCACTACAGGACAATCAAGATTGGCTCCATCACGAGCGATTCCCAAGTCCTCGTCGATCACGCGCTCCATTACGAATACTTTGACCCGTCCGCCCGCGTGCTTGCGGGTCCTGCCCTGTTGACTGACAAGATCCCCCGGCGGTGTATGTTGAGGCTACCCTCAAAAGACGCTGCGATGCAGCCTTGTCTCTATCGCCCTGCCACCAAACCGAGTGGCCCGCCGCCCAACGCTGTTATCGCATCCCAACATGAGTGTCCACCGCATATGACCTTGGCCTAGTTTCGAGAACTTCGTGTGCTGCCTCTGGGCTCCAAAGTGCAGTGGCTAAATATCCTTCGCCAGCTCCACGCCCCCTCAGTTGACTTCAACCAGCTATCCACTGTTCGTCTTCCACGCGCAATGTATCACACAGGCCGGTCCTCCTGATGCAGACAACGTCCTGCGAGAGTCCCATGCCATCCTCGCTGACCCGGCTTTCTCGCAAGAGCTGATGGACGGTGTGATCACTGCCACCTCCCGAGCCGCGGAATCGTGGCAGTCCGCCGAAGCTCTCCGGGCATTCATCCTGATTGTCACTCGTACTCTACAGCTGACGACAGATCTCATCACTATTCGTCAGTGCCTGGAATACTTGGTATCCGCAAGGAGTACAGTCCTTGGCTGGGCCGTCTCTCTCAGGAACAAGGCTCGACGACCTTCGATGTCCGCTCGTGCTTAGCAGCAAGATTGTGACGATCTTCTTGTTCCTTCTCGATAACGTAGAGCTCGACATCAAGATCAGAATTCCACCTGGAGGTTGGGATTTACGTGGCGCAAGAGACCACCGAAGCAGTTAACGAGGTAGCCTTGTTGCTTATGCTACTGGGTGTTCCGTCCGAGTAGACCTGGCCTTGGATCTTTGGCGTCGTGCCATCGGCAGGGTGGACAAGGCAAAACACTCGCATGAGCAGCATGCTCTGCGTCTCGAAGCCGGCCTTGTGATCGGGGTCTCATAGCGCATAGAAGACGTGCTCTAGAATCGTCGAAAAGAACTGCTGAAAGAAGGCGGTCGCAGTCTGGGCATAGGTCTTTGGGCGATGTTCGTAACGAGCCTCAGGCCCATATTCAGACCTGCACCCTCGATATCACGGTTGTCATGCTTACTGGCCTACATGCAGGCATCGATGACGAACTTTCACTGCCGGTTGTTGAGCTCGAGCAGAGCAGGGAAGCAGCGCCGGCTGATGGCTCTGAGAAGGTTGAAGAGCCCGACGCGGTGCTCGGGGAACTCGCAGAAGTCTTTGTCGATCATCTCAAGCGTGCACTCGAGGACGTTCTGCATGATGTTGGGAAATTGGTCCTCCATCAATTCCTGCGAAGGGTTAGACATGCGAAATGGAGGGAAAGTGGGAAGTAGAACGGCATGCCGTTAACTGCGTGATTACCACAGACATGGCACGAAGAACCTCTGCGCCGCGGGCACCTGGCACATTGCGGTTGTAGTTGACCAGGACGGGATCAAGAAGCGGAGGCACCATTTGCGCCCGGATAGCTCGTAGGTCTCGATCAACTTTAGGATCTCCTTCTTGATGGCTCTAGAACCTCGTACTTTGGGCGTTCGCGGCGCAATTGCACCTGTAATATGTGAGAGAAGAGCGAATAACGCGGCTGTGACTTATATCTGAAGCTTACCCATCACGAGCCACAACCTGCGAGATTAGCAGACTTGTTGCGCGGTACATTTCCAAAATATCCATATAGATCCAGCCAATTTGAGGGCCGAAGTAGCCGCCGATTGAAGAGCAAGCAGAGACGTTGGTCTTCATGATGTTTCCAAAGATCTTAATCGTCTCGGAGTCCTCTAGAATCCCGGGACCCTGAGTTACAGCACGAACAATATCATCCCACGGAGCATTGACAGTAGGCATGAGCTCCGCCAGCAGGCTCTCCTGCTGGTGCTTGTTGCTCTGTACCGCAATCATATGGCCACAGGCTTTGTAGAAGGTATGAATCTGTTGCCGAGTGAGATCGCAAGTAATGTGCTGCAGGTTGCGGACGATCTCCTTGATGAACGGCTCGCTCTCGCTAGGTTGCAGAGCTATGAAGTGCGGCGATCTTCATGAAAGTGTCGCATGCACACCTGTTTGATTGTTAGTGGACGTCTCAAGTACAACTCGCCGGATAAAATGCTTACCCTCATGAGGTTCGCGCATGAACTCGAAGAGCTCGTTGACGACCGTTCTAAGGAACTTCCAGTGAGCCTTACGGGAGCGAGGATACTGGCCAACAATATAATACATAATGTTGGGGGCGACGATAGCCTTGTCGCCCTTATGATACTTCATCTCAGTTAGATATTAGTGACTCTGAATGACCGTCAGGAGGAAATGCTTCTCTGCCTCTTCGTTCATGATAAGCGAAATGGAACCGATTGCCCAGCAAAGCACGTTACAGTTGTGCCATGACCATTTAGTTCCGTCAACTGCATTTGAGAGCTTGTCGGTCATGATCTGTTCAGTGTCGATGTGTGACGTAAACAAGACATTCGCGGATTGTCTTATAAAGCTGGACTGTGCCGCTCTCCTAATCGAACTCGCGCACAATCTCGCCTTCGTCATTTGTCTATGATGGGAACTTCCTCAGGTCGGACTATGACGACTTATAGGTAAGAAAACAACTCCTTGTACTTCATCTCTATAAGGTGGGGGATTCGGAAGTGACGTTGGAAGCTCGCGCGCTATTCTGGAACAATGCCCGCACCCACTGTAGGAACGCTAGCTATCCCCTGTGACATCCCCGGTCGCGCCTACTGTAGTATATGCACTGTCGGGTGCACTAAAGCAACCACTGGCGTACGGTCAGTTTAGCTTATATCGTGCTATCATGCACCTGGAGCATTGCTGCAGCGGGGTAAAAATCCGTTAAGGTAACCCCGCCTTCCATCCTGACTGCATTGATGAGGTAGGTAGCTCGACTAGGCGCATCCTGCTCGAGCAAGTGAAGGACGTGGTAAGGACGTGCATGATTATGTTGTCCGCTTGGCTGGCGCAAGAAAGCGAGGCCAGCCAGGTGGTGAGTGTGAGCCATTTCTTTCTTGTGGCGAGCTGACTAAGGAGGCGGTGCAGTCTCAGCCAGTTCTTCACGGTGAACTGCCGAGTTCCTATATCCCAAGGCATGAACCACTTTGCTTCATAAGAGAGCTCGTCGATCTCGAGGCCTGCGGAGCCATTGGCGACTGAGTACTTCTCAAGGAAGTTCCAGATGTGCCTTGGCAGGTCGTGGGCCACAGTGACGTGCGGATCGGACCTGTTGTTGTGGAGCGTGGCGGCCACGACGTATGTCGCTGTTGCGGTGGCAGAATCATGAGCTACGTCCCGAGCCTTGTAGACGACATCGTGTGTGGTGTCGTGGTCTTCAGCGCCGAAAGTCGAGACCCGGAACTGAGCCACGCGGATCTTGTGGCGGACCAGGAGGCTTCTTTTGATACCAGAGTACAGACCTACAGACTCGGTTTCCGGATGACTTTCGTGGAGAAACTTCTTGTCGGTCGCCTGGTCGAGCATTACCTGGACCTTGTCGACAAAGCCATCGTGCTGTGCCAGGACTCCAACCTTGTTGTCAAAGTGCATCGTCTGCATCACCCGCAGGTGCCTGGGGTAAAACTCCCTCTTTGGAGTCAAGCCGGCAATCATTTTGAGTGTTGAGATGGAAATCTGTGTTAGTCCATCGGCGGACCGAACAGCAGCGGATTGCAGAATGCGCAGCGCCTCTTCCGTGCCTGTCCGCGAGGTGAGCTGGTCAGGCATGCAGAAAGACGTCAAGGCATGAAGAAGATATAGAAAGCGCTTGCCCTGCAGATCCCCGCCGTCCACGAGACGGCCAAGAGGTGTGTCGACTCGGTAAGGGTAGAGGCACTTGCTTGGGCCTTCGGATATGTGCAGGGACACATGGGCTCGCGTTCGTTTGGCTTGTGGGCTGCCGTTTGGTACTAAGACGATCCTATCGGGCGACAAAGATGTGCTCTTCAGCACGACCTTGTTGGACAGGCCGACTAGGGTGCCAATTTGCTGATCCTCATCAACAATCATGCCGCGAAAGTCCCTGCACGATACAGCAGTGTCTCCTGCTTCGAGATAGAACCGAGAACGAAGACCGGGCAGCTCAATATCGAGCCCCTCGTGGTCGGCCGACAAGAAGCAGTGGATGCGTGCCTCCTCCTCAAGAGTGCTCAGGATCTTGGCAAGAGTCTTTGAGGTCGGCGTGTGGAGGCCAATGACGGTCGTACTGTCCTTGCATAGCTGCCATTGACCAACAGCAGCTTCACGCGAGAGGGTCCATGGCTGCTGCGGGACAGCCCATGGCTTGTTCAGCGGCCGCAAGCTCAGAACTTGGGTTGTTTCGTCGTAGAAGTGGACGTAGTCACTAATGAAGGCCTCTGGATACGAACCAGACAGGAGCCGACTGGGTACATAGTAGAGTGTGTGGCCGTTCTTTGTCGCCCGAACGTATAACTCACCCGAGTGGAGAGCGAATTGCACATTGTATCCAGCAAATGGAACATTTGTGGACAATGGGAAACCGTGCGAGCCCTTTGGCATGACCTCGACGATTGACCTGCCAAACAAGATCTTGTAAGTCGCGTGATTCTCATATTCTGACGGGAGTCGGTTCAGTGGTAGACCGTTGACAAGAAGTTCTCCCGTAAGCAGATTGAAGCGCACGACGGAAGAGTCTACCTCGCACGCAGTGCTGCCCACGAGCCACTCTGTATATTGGCTCGACGCAGGTGCCCAGTTCTCCTGTGCGCTGTGTCCAGACCAGGAGCTTCTGATGGCATCGTCAAGAGCACAACTGCCGTCTGTGATGGATTTCGAGAGGACGGGGAACACGCGGGTACTGATTCGTTGCCATTGCCAAATAAGAGCATCGTTGGGGTCAGACCCGCTCTCACTGTCGGTGCCCTCGCGAGCGATGAAGGAGCACTGCAGAAATTGAGACGCAGCAACTGAGGACTGTAGTGCAGATGAAATGTAGCCTTGATCCATGTCGAGGGTCAGTGAGCTGATGAGGGCACATCTCGCGGCACGGTGTCGGAAGTCGTTCCGGATCCGAGCATTCGTGCTTGCTCGGCTTGCTAAAGCCGTCCGACATTGGGGACGAGGAGATATGACTGAAAAAGGAGTTCCGGTAGTTTGCGATTAAACACGTCACGAGGCCAGAAGACTGAGGCTCTAGTAGTGAGACCTAAGGTTCCCTCTTTTAGTGGCAAAGCCGAGCACGGGAACCGTGGTTTGGTCTGCCTGAGACGGGACATCGGAAGCAGACGGACGAGCAACACAATGCCTTTAATAGGCCAAAGGAGCGCGAAAGGAATGTTCCCCCATCACCAACGTGGAAACCTTTGATGTATAAGATACCACGATATAAGAGCTTCGCACTTCCCCATGATTAGTGCTGATGCCCTTGACGTTCCCGATTCTACCTCTCCTCGCGTCGTACTAACAAATCGAGGTCATGCTACTGGTTGGAACTCCCGCACACGTTTCCAATTAGCTTTGCTCCCCGGTATTTTCACCCTGATAGTGTCTGCGCGAAGTCGAATTACATCACATGCAGCCTGAATGCTTTTGTGCAGTTTTCGCAACTCTGCCTCGACGAGGACCTTTTTCACATCCGCGAGAGCAACCATTTCGCTGATGACTTGTGTCTCCGCGATCTCCAGCGCCGGGATATCGACCTTGTTGTTATCGCCTGAGTCGGGACGGTATGTACCGGTGCGGACCGCAATGCTGCTACCGGCTTCGACAACTGCGGCGAAGGTCTCGTATTTACAAGCGATTGTTTCAAGCGTGTCGGCCTCGCGAAGCAGGGGGAGGATCGGGGGGATGAGGTCGTGGGTGATGGTACTTTGGTTGATCGGGATTCCTTGGGGCTTGTTGTTTGGGAAGATCTTGTAAAAAGAAAGACGGCTCTCCATTGCTGTGGAGACTATCGCTTCGTGACTGGTCTTTTGCATGCGGTCTCCGATGGTTAGAAGATGCCTGTTTGCGCAGCAATCACTGTTGCGGAGGGGAATGAAAAGAAAGAATGGCTTCCAGCACGCCAAAGTGCTGCAGCCTATTTCTGAAGGCTTGATTGCCCTTTTGATTCCTGGAAGGTAATGGCTACCCTTTTCGGCATAGTATTAACCATGACTGTGTACGTGTGTCGAGCATGGACCTGGAACTGGCGAATGGCGAATGGCAAAGTCACTTTCGCGCACAACGTTTCAACTGTGCGGTACTGTATAACGCATAACCCCAGGCGGCATGAGCATTTACGACCCATAGCCTGGATTGCGGTGCACATTTTGCCAGGCAAGAGAAATGAGGTACATCAATTTGTGTGGAAAGCGCTAGTAAATTAATGATCCTTATTCTTTTAGAGACTGGTTGGTTGGCATGCCAGTCACGTGAAGCAATTTGGGCCAGTCAGAAACGTTAGTGACAGTGATGTAAGGCTGACGTCTACAGTCGGGGACGGGGAACACTCCCCACGAAACGCCATGGGTGACAACAGCAGCCGGTTTCGAGCATCTATGTCCCAGGTTTCAGTCAATATATACCAGTCACCGCTGGCCATTCGATCCCCAATAGGACTGTCTGATGGGCGGGAAATATGTGGTCATTGATATAAAGCCTCACCATTCTTCCCTTTACACTCCTTGCACTAGTGCACACCGGCTAGCTCCTTTTTCTCCTGCTCTGGTTTCAGTTTTGATATCTGACGTTCCAGAGCCGAGATATCTTCTCGGTCCTACTCACCTATTCCTGTTATGTCCGCTCCAGGTCGTGGTGGCTCTTTCCGTGGTGGCGGCGGACGACGTGGCCCTGGACGAGGAGGTTTTGGGGGTGATTCCAGTAGAGGCCGCAGTGCCCGTGGAGGCTTCCAAGGCAGAGGAAGGGGCGGCGTGGCTGTTTCGGTGTTCTCGTACGTATATCTAGCATGGTTTTGCCCCTCTCCTCCACGACTCTACTGACACCAGCGATGGAGGACTGCCGATCGAATCATCCCTGTTCCAAACACGGTTGTCGCGAAGACCGAAGATGCCCTTCTGGCCGCTACCAAAGGTGGCCTCAGTCTCGCCGGCTTAAAGTTACGAGAGGGGTTTCCTTGTCGTCCCGGCTTCGGCACGAAAGGCACACCCGTGACGCTGTGGGCCAACTATTTCGAAATGTGTGCACCCCCAAAAGTCATGTTCTACCGATACGATATTGCTGTTTCACCCGCGGTCGCCGGAAGAAAGCTTAGCCAGGTCATCAGGCTGTTACTGGAGTCCGAAGAATTGATGGAATTTCGACGGGATGTGGCCACTGACTTCAAGTCAACTCTTGTGTCGCGTCAGAAGTTGCCCGCGGATGAGACGGTTGCCAAAATCCAGTACCGCTCGGAAGATGAGGACGAACCTCGACAAAATGCCACCCAATACGAAGTTCGTCTCCTATACACGAATACCTTGAGTGTCTCGCATCTGATCGAGTATCTCACATCTACGAACATAAGCGCGCGGTTCGACGACGCTCAGTCTCTGGTTCAGGCCTTCAACATCTTCCTCAACCATCACTCAAAGCTGACGGGGAATTTGGCTACGATTGGGGCTAGCAAGAATTCTCTCTAGCCGATAACGCGGATACGTGGGATCTTGGCACAGGATTGACGGCAATACGAGGCTTCTTTTCGAGCGTGAGGGTGGCAACCTGCCGCCTCCTTGTCAATGTGAATGTCAGCCACCGTGCCTTTTATGAAGCAGGGCCGCTGGACAAGATCATGTTAATGTACTACTCTGCTCACCAAAGCAGCAGGTACAAACTGAACAACTTCCTCGCGAAGCTCAAGGTGGAGCCTACTCACCTGCCAGAAAGGAAGAACAAAAAGGGTGAAATCGTGCGGAAAGTCAAGACCATTGTTGGCCTCGCCAACACGAATGACGGACACGGCCTCCCGCACCCCCCAAGGGTAAAAGAGTTTGGTGCAGGTCCTAAGGATGTGAAGTTCTGGCTCGAAGGCGGTGGGGGAGGCCAGCCTGCGAGCACACCAGGAGCCGGAAGTCAGGACGAAGGTAAAAAGAAAAAGAAGAAATGGAAACAGGCAGGCCCTTCCGACAAGCCATCGTCGACCTCGTCCAGTGGCAGATACATCAGTGTTTACGACTTCTTTTGGACCAGTGAGTCTCTGAATACCTACTGGGGAGCTCATTTTATAATAACTGTCCGAATAGAATATAACTGGCAGACCAACCCCATGATCCCCATCATCAACGTCGGTACACGAGATACCCCAAGCTACCTTCCACCTGAGGTCTGTGTCGTCGGTCCAGGTCAGAATTCAAACTCACAGCTCAACCCCGCGCAAACCCAACGAATGATACAGTTTGCTGTACGGAGCCCATGGGAGAATGCTGCTTCAATAGTCCGCGATGGTTTTCAAACAGTTGGTCTTTCATCACAGGCGAACGTGCTTCTGGTAGGTAACGCCCTCTTTATCGCTGCACACCGCGACTCACTCTTTATGACAGGATCGGTTTGGCGTATGGGTCCCACCTCAGTTGATCACTGTGTCAGGGAGGGTTCTCAACGAGCCTAAGGTCTTGTACAAAGAGAAGCCAGCCCCGGTGCGCTCTGGCAGCTGGAATATGGTTAACATGAAGTTGAACACCACCGGGACTATGACGAATTGGTCGTACCTGCTCATTTCAATACCTGATCGGCGAGACGCATTTGATCAAGCAGGCCTCATCGCTATGCTCGTCAAGTTTCAAGAGGCTTTGCGCAAAACCGGAATGGTCGTGGCCCCCCCGGCTCAGGGACGAAGACTAGTCCTGAGAGACCAGGATGACCCTGAGCTCGACAACGTCTTCAAATTAGCTGCCAAGTCCTTACACCTGCTTTTCATTATCCTACCAGATACCACACCCCTCTACAACAGGATCAAACACTGCGGCGACGTTAAGTACGGGATTCAAACTATCTGCGTTGTTGGCCATAAGATTGCCAAAGAGAAGGGTCAGGACCAGTACTTCGCCAACGTCGCCCTGAAGCTCAACCTGAAACTGGGCGGAAACAACCAGCTACTCGATAAACCACGCCTTGGTATAATCAATGAGAATAAGACTATGGTTGTCGGTATTGACGTCACACACCCGTCTCCTGGGTCTAGTTCTCGCGAGCCAAGCATCGCCGGGATGGTTGCGAGCGTTGATAGGTGGCTTGGCCAGTGGCCTGCAATTCTCCAGGTCCAGGCCGGCGCTCGCCAGGAAATGGTCACGGACCTGTCAGACATGCTTAAATCACGCCTCCAGCTGTGGAAAACCAAAGGACACCACCAGCCCCTGCCCGAGAATATCTTGGTATACCGTGACGGCGTCTCCGAGGGTCAGTATGACAAAGTCATCGATGAGGAACTTCCACGGCTGCGTAAGGCATGTACGGAGGTGTATCCGACCTCTGACCAGAAAAAGGGCCTCCCACATTTCACCATCGTCATTGTCGGTAAGCGTCACCACACGCGATTTTACCCGACCAAGGAAGCCAACGCCGACCGGTCCGGCAACCCGAAGCCCGGCACCATCGTCGACCGCGGTGTCACAGAGGCACGTAACTGGGACTTCTTCCTCCAAGCGCACGCAGCCATTCAGGGCACCGCGCGTCCGGGGCACTACGTTGTCGTGCTCGATGAGATCTTCCGAGCTCGCTATGCCAAGACGTTGCCGCCGGATTGCAGCAACGTGGCGGATGTGCTTGAGGACCTAACGCAGAGCTTGTGATATGTGTATGGGCGTACGACCAAGGCAGTCAGTCTGTGTACGCCGGCTTACTAAGCTGATATTGTCTGTGAGAGGGCTAGGTGCTATCTGAGTGGTGTGTTTGACACGCCGACACAGTCCGCGGAGCCGTCACTGGCCGGAAGTCAGACGGAGGGGTTGCAAGTTGGGAATGAAGATGTGAGGATTCATGAGAAGTTGAAGGATACCATGTTTTATATTTAAGCAGCGGAAGAAGCGGGGAAGCTGGGATCTTGCAGTCCTTGATTTTGGTCCTCCAACAACGACTCAAGTATTTTAATAATGTTAGGATGCCAGAAATGGTGACGCGAAGGTGCGTATTTGTTTATAACGGCTTGAATCTTGCTGCGCTTCCTTAATTGCAGTTGTTTCCTAGTGTGAAAACTGGCCTCCATGACAGGTAGGCCTTCCTTCGTATGACATGTTGAGTGAAGTGGGGGTAAATGTCGCGACAGTCGAGCGAGGCAAGAGCGGGTCTAACCTTTGCGGTGGTTCCAAGTAGAAGCGGGGACTGCGGGGTTCTAAGCAGTCCTCAGCAAGCTCGACCCACCGCCATTTTGTAGGATCAAGCAAGTCTCATGGCTGATGTCGAACCAGAGTTCTGGGCCCAGACAAGATTCCTTTCAGAATGTTTCGTGACGAGGCATCGAAACAGCAGTGTCTGATTTCGATCCTATCTGCCTGCCGTCAAACTAAACGCCGTCGTGCCTTCAGTTGACGAGTCCGCAGTGGTCCGACCCCAGAGAGTGATCTGATACATGTGCAGGACTGTGGAGCAGCACCAGGCACCAGCAACAAGCTGGTGTTCCTTGGCGACACCACCCTGGGCATGCTCTGCGATAGACGTACCAGTGGTCGGAGGACGATGGCTGGTCTCGGTGCGAGGCTCGAGTTGTGACGAAAGACGCGTAGAAGGACGACGTGTTGAGGCCGTGCTTGGCGGTGATGCTGCAACCACTGTCACGCAGATCCCCATTCCCGACGTGGCTGTGGATAATAATTAGAGGTGCTTATGAAACACGTCCAGCAGTGCCTATACGCGGGGAACACACGACAGGGGCCCCTGTGTGACACGGGTCGTTTTCCCGGCCGAGTAGACTAGCAAAGAGAGCAGCTTATGCCTGTTGCTCTCATGCCGAGAGTCCTTCTTACGAGGTTAGGCAAATGCATGTACAGAACACGAACTGACCCTGAACATGGGTCTGCCCAGGCGGAACAGCAAGACCTTAGCTTTATACCGCCTGCATGGTACAGTATCGGAGTTGGAGCCTTAGGGAAAGAAGAGGACATCTCACAAGCCGAATACTAGACAGGGAGCACAAATGTGGCCAGCCCGGGCCGATGCTGGCTGCACGCCAGCAAGGCCGGCACGGTCGCGTCATCGCTCTGGTCACTGAGCATTGCTGTCAGCCCGCCGACGTTGTATATCCCGACAAACCTGAGCCGCGAGCTGTAAAGGTGTCTTCTATCGGCGTCATGCGTAACAGACATCAGCGATCTGCCCATCGCCATAGATGCTGCATCACGTGTCATGGGTATCGCCACGAACAGGGACGATAATGCGCAGGCTGCAGACGCAAGGAAGAGTGCCTTTTCCAAGAACACACTGAGCAGGTTCCATAGCAGCAAGATATTCCTCCTGTAGAGTTTGATGGTCGCTATGGGTGCGCTCCTCTAGGCATCAATCGGCTCATCAGCACTGGACGAGCCAAGATGCCCCCTTAGTCCTGGGTGTTAGGCTATTGCTGAGCTACTGCAAGACTGTTCACATATGACGGGCTAAGCATTAAAGCTGCCCGCCCAGTCAGGGCGCGCAGGACAACAGCAGTGCCTTGCCCTTAGGTTCAGCCGTGAGGTGCGAGTGCCGGCTGCCACCCACCTGTGGAGGCTGCCGCGACACGCTGCCGCCCAGACTCCTGCAGTAGCGTTCCAGGATGCAAGATCGATTCAGTCCTATGGATATGTTTTTCTTATGTCGTAGTAGACCTCATGTCCTATAGCGCTGGCAGGACAGACCCGGGCTTTTCTGTGTGTCTGTACGGTAGCTCGGTGAAGCACATATGGCCGTCGTCCTTGTCGCCCATGCGTTTTGTAGATGCCTGGGGGATATTATGTCAAGACCATGGACCAGAGGGGGCCTGGGATACCACAGGCAGGCGATTCGCAAGTAAGTGCTGCCGGATTGTACTACGCTCAGCTAGACTGAGATGAGTGCTCCATTTGAACTCAGGAGAGTCGAACATGAACGGGTTCTCTGGGTCATCCCACTTCAGGGTGATGTGACACTCCATCCACTCATCTATCCGATCTGGAAGCATCACTTCCAGCATGCGCATCACCAGCAACTGACACGGCTGAAGACTTCTAAGCTTGATAGCACGCCAGTCGGCCTCTGTTTTATTCCTGCAAACTTCGTACGGCACCAGCTCGTCGATGCGGATGCGCGCTTTAATATCTTAGTCGCTCAGGTCGATGAAGGCGTCGAGCGCGGCGACAATATGGTCTATTGTACTTTGAAGTGCATTCGCGTGGACGACCCTTTGAGGCGGTGCCGCTACACTCGTATATGCAGACCCCGTCTCTATTACGAACTTTTTTCCATAATACATTGGCCAGCTCGCCGACACAGGTGCCGCCTCGGTGTGATACACTGACCAGACAAGCTGCTCACTATCCAAGAGAGACTTGGAGAAGCAACCTCCACGCCTTCGAACCGTTAGGCCGGGTGTTAGACACTGCACTTTGTTGGTGTTGTGGTAGAGTAGTGGTAGTGATTGTGTGCACTGAGTGGGTAGTGCAAGGTGAGTGTGTAGTGTTGAGTGAGGGCATCATCACTCTTGCTGTCGCTCATTCTATTCATCTCCTCTTTTTCATCACTCTATTCCCTATCATCATCTTCCATCATTCTACTCTATCACAGTATCTTCCAAAGGCAATTGCTACACCGGCGTGAACGAATGGCTACACCGGCGTCACTCTTACACAGGCGTCACTTCCATGGCCTCTGATTCGCTCTTTTTTCCTTCGACCCACAGGTACATCGGCGCAAAGGCGGTGAAGCCAGCTCCCTTAACAAGTCCCTCAGCTTCGGTAAAGAACCAATAGGGTCAACCCAGGTCTAAATCGAGCTCATAACAAGATCTGCAGAACAAGACCAATTCAAGTATGCTCTAGATGCCAGCTCTCCATATCGCTATCCTCTCACTACTATCGAGGGAAGTACCTCCTCGTCGCTGTCAAGCAGCTCCCACTGACTCCTTCGCCTACGAATGCTAGGCTGCGTCTGCCGCCCGCTGGCACGTACTCCTGTAGTTCTTCCAGCTCCAAGAACAACTGACCGGCTGCGCGTTTGGCGCTGGGATGGGGTACTGGCCTGGTTACTAGCCTGGCTGCTGGTCTGTTGGCTCACTTCCAGTGGAGGCCTAGCTAGCGTTGACTTGTTGAGACTTCCCGGTGGTCGACCACGTCTGCGCCGTGGTGACTTGCTTGCTGGTTTGTTGGCTGGCTGGCTACTGGGCTGGCTGCTTGCCCCGATGGCTAGCCGCGCTGGAACAACCTGCGTGGTGTTCTTAGGTCTGCCCCGGAGAGCAGTGGCGATCTTAGGGTCGAGGATTCGTCGGTATGGATCTCGAGAGGATGGCTCTCGTAGGCGCCACCGAGGATGGACCTCCCATTTGGTGAAAGGCGTGCCACTTCCCAGCTTTGAGTAGATTGTGTGACAGCAGGGGATTCCAAGTTCGGTCGAAACCGAGCATTCCTCGCCGCAATCCCCGAGAGGGTCAGGAAACGGATTCTTTCCTGTCGGCATTGCTTTCCTTGCCAGCCGATATTGTTTCGTGATCAGTCCGAGACCCTTCGAAGAGAGCGCTATTCGGAGTTCGCCAAGATACTCCGAGCTGGACCCCATATACTCTCGTGCGGTAAGTACCTCATCCGCTGCGCAGGCATCGTTGAAATCCCGCTCTTGGTCCTTCATCATGTCCTGCATAGCCTCAAAAAGGCGATAAAGATTGCTCATACCATTCAGAAGATAGCTCTTGATGTTGTTGTTGCTTGCTTCTGTACCAGAGGTGACACGGACGCCGAAATTGCGATACTTCCGGATGAAACAGCGGGCCCATTGGGCCCTGACGGGCATGTAGGTTCCATGGAGATACCGCAGGATAGCTCGCTGGTCATCAAACTCCTTACAGAGGTTTGCCCATGCCTCCTCGTGGGCCTCCTCCGTCTCAGCAAATAAGACGAGCTTCCACATGATGAGAACTCCTCATAGTTATGAGGGATAGCCTCGGTTGTTGGCGTGTGAACCAACTCTCGGTCTTGAGGGGTTAGTTGAGCTTGTGGCTGCGGGGTAGTTGCCTCTCCGTCGCTGGTACCAGGGCTACTTCTGCTGCTGCTGCGGGCGTTAACCCACCTCTGCTTTGACTTAAGCAGGATGTTCGAATTGATGTGGTGGATGCACAGCTGCTGCTGTACATCGGGGAACTGGTCGTTCAATGCGGCTTTCATCTGGTCGTCGAAATCGGTGACGATCACATCCGGTCGCCGGATGGAGTGCTGCTCTGCTAGCTGTCGAATGCTCTCGGAGAGGAATTGGAACCCTTCTCTCCTCTCGTTATCTATCAGACCGAAGGCAGCGTTATAGACAGAGCCAAGGCATGTCTGTCCCGTTGCTTGGAATAAGGGAAGTTTGAAGCGGTTCGTGTTATATGTGTTGTCGAAGCTGATCACCTCGGGGAACCGCTTCCACATCTGGAGGCAGTAAGGAAATGTCCAGACAAGGCCAACAAGACGGTTTGGCTCATCGTCTCCCCACTTAACGAGATAGGGAACCTTCATCTCGTCAAGCAGCTTGATCAGTGCTGCAGTAGGAGTATGGCCATCCAGCTTGTCTCGGTTGATACGAGATCTGGCGTTATAGATGTCTTTCCGTGTAAAGGATGATTCGGGATGCTGCTCCTGGACGATAGCACGTACGTCACGGGCCCGAATTCCGACCCGACTGCTTGTCGATTCGACCGTTGTCCTGATAGGCTCGGTGAGTCTCCGATGGGAGGGATGAGCAGATGGCCCGATGCTGCGGCCGTGGTTATGCTGGCTGTGTTCGGGCTTCGAGTGTTGTCGTAAGAGCCACTTCCCCTCTTCTAACGCCTCGGCAACAACCATCCATTTACATCCACACTTTCGAGACTTCCGTCGTCGAAGTCCTGCGCCTTGACTAGGGGCTGGTTCTCCGAATCGATCGCATTGAAAAGTGTACCGGATCCTCCGACCCTTATATGAATGTGCATTTCGTCGAACAATACCGAAGCCATTAGCCTTCGCGAAAGTATTCACCCACTCGAACAGGACTTCGGCTGACGGCGCTGGGTCGCCTGGGATAGCTGGGTTCGGGATCCCGTCAGGGACAGGCGATGACGAGAGGTCGGGCAAGGGCGGTGAAGCTATAGTCGGAGAGTGCCTGTCTCGGGGAGGCGAGTAGGGCGGAGGTGATTCGAGTGCATCTGAACTAAGCGGCGAGTAACCCCATCTCTCGCGCCATTGGCGGACTTGTTCGTATGACCGGACGAGCTCGAGGGTTAGTCTCCGGTGTGTCCCAATCACCTCGCGTACTAGCTTGAGAACAGAATGAAACTCGGCCTTGGTGGGAGAGGGATGCTCTTGTACTGATCGCGGTGGAGAGGAGCGAGGTAGTTGGTCCATTTCTGGGCCTGGTATAGGGATTCTAACTCGTTGGGATCGTCTTCCTTGGAATGGGAAATCGTTCGAAAGGTGAATCTCTTGATCGAATCGTAGCCCCCATGGTGGCTCGTTCAGCCCGCGCGATCCACGGGGCCGTGGCGCGGTCGTCAACGTCTCTGGATATGAGGCGAAAAGATTATAGAGTGCTTCATCGTCGCCGACGCCGTAGTGTCGGCCAATGCTGGTGCCTGTGCTATTAGAGGAAGGTGGTCTTGAACTATCAGATTGGTCCTGCCGCTGTCGTTTTCGAGGCCGGAATTGATAGCTTCGTCGTCGTTGGTTGCTTAGGGAGCTAGATGGAGACTCGGGCTGGGACATGACGGCCTCGATCGCGATAGGGAGTGTCGCACGCACGGTGAGAAGATGAGTAAAAGAGTACTTGATTCGACTATGAAAGAAGGAAAGAAGGGTCTCATTTCGGGCAGAAAGTAAAGACCTGCTTTGCGATGCCGATTCTAGATGAGGCTGTTAGCGTGATCTGATACAGCCTGTGTTCGAGCTTTGGTCTCAGCAGGGGTCCAACACACCTCACTCCAGCCCTGTGACCTTAACAAATACCGTATCTTTCGCGAAAATCATTCTAAGTAGGCTCGACATGCGGCAAAGAGGTAATTAGTGTGGTAGCTAGCTGGTGAAGAGCTTCCATAAGGCGCGTCGATCGTTGCGGTGGAGAGGTAAGCCCGAGGTACAACGGGCGCTGTTGGCAGAATCTAAATGCACTAACAAAAAGGGATGGACCAATCAAAGGCCGTAAAAGCGACGCCTGTATAAGAGTGACGCCGGTGTAGCCATTCGTTCACGCCGGTGTAGCAATTGCCCTTCCAAAACTCATTCCATTTCCTCATCTTCTATGATGAGCCACGAGACTCACTACGTTCCTCTTAGTGGCACCCGGGGGGGGGGGGGGGCATACCCCCTAGGTCCAGAACTCTGACCATCTTTTCATCATTCAAGGCTGCCAAAGTAGGGTAACAGCATTCTCTGTAAGTATCTCGGTGGGAGCGAGTGGAATGTGACTCTATAGAGGTGCACTGCGCTGTCTATATTGCGTAACCTACTAGTCCTGGCGCCTGCCCAACACTCAAAAAACCATAATCCACTTCCCATTCCGTGTCTGTATCCTCCGCCTCTCCCGTAGCTTCTTCCTGTGATTCCTCTTCCGACGACGAGACATCCTCACAGCAGACATCGGTCTCATCCTCCTTACCTTGGAGCCCCTCCAGCACCTGCTGCAGCGAGCCCCCCAGGGGCAGGTCCAGGCTCAGCTCCTGGCCCACCCGTCTTGCCAGTGTCTTCAAGGAAGACGAGGTCGTTGAGGATTGAGGCGATTCGACGTGGTCGTCTTCGCTCAGGTCGAGGTACGCGGGAGGCCACTGGGGAAAGTCGCGGTAGGTGAGACTCATAGTGCGGAGCGACTTCTTGGCGTACTTGTCAATTACGGCCTCGATGCCCTCGCGGTCAGCTTGGGTAAGAGGAGAGGCAGCGATAGTCGTAGCATCGGTTTTCTCAGAACTGTAGCCAAGAAGAATTTCGAAGCATCCTTGACAAGAAGTCTGTAGCCAAAACCATCGCGGAGCTTGATGACAGCGCCCATGCACTTCTTGCCAGAGTCGAAGGGGAATATTTGGGCAATTGCTTCATTGGCGCGGGCCTCGGGGAGCGATTGCATGCCAAGGTGATCGCAAGAAGAGCAGTCTCAGTCTTGGAACCGATGAACGCAAACTGGCCGTTCTCCACACCCTCGAAAGCAGTAGAGTCTATCACGATCGACTGGACAATAGCGTGCCTGGTGACCTGCGGGAGACCAAGAAGCCTACTGTGCCAGAGACGGTTCGTTCTTCCCAGCCGCCAAGTTCTGGCCAAAGTTGATGTTGCCGAAAGTGCCTGCAACGACGGTCATCTTGTTCGTCGTCAATGTGCCGGTCTTATCCGAGCAGATAGTAGTCGCGTTACCCATAGTCTCGCACGCGCGCAGGACGCGTAAGACGTTGTTCTCCTTGAGCATACGCTTTGTTGTGATGGCTAGAGCAAGAGTGACTGCCAAGGGCAAACCCTCGAGAAGGGCCACGACAATGATGGTGATAGCAACTATGAGAATGTCCATAAACTGAGAGGCCTTGACAGCCGTCGAATCCGTGTTCTGCGAGAGGCCGGAAGAGGACAACGAAGAGGAGGAGGGCAGCAGAGCTACCACCGATCTTGGCGATCGCGACGGCCAGACCCTCCAGCTTCTTCTGCAGAAGTGTAGCCTCGATCTTCGTGCGAACCGACATCATGATCTTGCCGAAGCTGGAGTTGACACCAACCGAGGTCACCATAAACTTGCCCATACCCTCGAGCACCTTTGCGCCAGAGATGATAAACGGGTCCAGGTTCCTCGGGTCCGCGCCAGCCACGCGCCGCTCCATGACCTCATGGCCGGGCGTCTTCTTCAGCGCATCAGATTTGCCGGTTGCCGAAGACTAGTCACACTTGAGGTCGTGGTTCTCGATGAAAATGCCATCCACAGGGACAAGGTCGCCCGGCTCCAAGTGCAGGACGTCTCCGACGACAACGTCGTGGACGCTGATCATGTACGACTTGCCAGAGCGAAAGACCTTTACCTCGCGATTCTCCTTCTTCGCATTGAGCTTGACCAAGGCTTTCTCTTTCTGCCAGTCGTTGAGAGAGCCGACGAGTGTCATAATGAGGATAGCGGCGCAGATGGCGACACCTTTGATCCAGTCCAGAGGGGTTCGCCGGAGGCATGCTCGACACCAAACACTTCGTAGAGACCAAGAGCAAGTGAAATAATGGCATCCACATTCAGGAGAATAATGACGTCGTCTTTGTAGGGACTCCAGGCGAGCCGTCAGAAGGACGTTGCCCTTTTGGCCGGTAGCACATTCTTGCCATATACCCTGATACGGTCAGCGAATGGCTCAGAGGCGTTTCCGCCCAACCTCTCCGAAGCAGCAGGCAACTTGTCCGAATTGAGGCGAGTAGCCTGTCCAAAGCTGACATTGGAACTGACGGCTATCTCGTCGATGCTGAGACTAGTCTTTGTGTTTGCCTGCAGGCTCTCTCGATGCCCTTCAGTCCACCGAGGGCCCTGAATGCTGCCAGTGACTTTGGGTTGACCAGCTTATCAAAATGTCCAGGAATGAATGCAAAGGGGTTGTTGTCCAACTCGACGTCGGCTTCAGTGCCGGGGTCCGGCTTGAGTGCTGTCGCTGACTCGATGTTGATGCACTTGGGACCACCGTCTGACGGGGCCGGGGTTGGTGATATATTTGAGCCGGCCGAGAGCAACGACGCATCAGAACCGCTGCTATCGTGGTGAATTTCGGTCTGGGTGTTGACGGCAGGAAGGGGCCCTGAAGCTAAGGTACCTGAGCAAGTTAAAAGCGGCATGGTAAGAGTCGTTGGTACTTAGTGAGGGATCTCCAGTTGAAGATGGGATTGTCTTCTAGTCTGGTCGCTCACCTTGAGGGAATAGGACGGCTGGAGAAAACCTGACCAACAAAACAGACTTCGCCTCGTATATGAGAGCGGAAGATTTCTAGCATTGGGGAAACTCGGTATGCCAGGTTGAGCATCCACGAGGCTGTACGAAGTCGAGCAAAAGTCCTTGGCTTGGCACACCGCAGAGAGCCCTGTTGTGTCGCGATGAGCCGGAGCAGTGCCAGAAAACAACAGCGGACCTGCATCAGATCCAACGACAGCTCGGCGAACTCTGTGCTGTACTATGCTTTCTCGATTGATTTTTGTTCTACATACTCTTTGTTGGAGCTTGCCAATTTATCACCATTGCAGAGAGGGAGACTGGGACTTCGCGGCCGTCATTGTCAATAGCAACCGGCTGATAAGGTTTACCTAGTCAGAATAGTAGTACTCGAAGTCACAATCGTTGATAATATCCCGACAGCTTGTTGGACCATCATCATCAGGATCCCAACCACCCTCATCGAAACCCCAACCATCTTCTTCGCTAAAACTGCGATACGGAACGTGATTCCACTTATCCAAAACTCTGTTCTGATCATCGCTCCACGGGGCTAATGTCCGATTGGGGCCATGGGGTTTGTACTCTAAGTCCTGTGATGCTTCGATGCGCTTCTTCGTCTCTTCGTTCACAAGGACTCGCCAATCGTTTGTATTTGCCTGGAATCTTTTCCACAATGTAGGAAGATGGTGGACGTCACCAACACAATAGGAGATTATCTCGTCAGGAATCGGGCGTTGCTCGAAAATCTCGTAGGAGCCGCCGTACTCCGATGTGAAAAGTCGTCTCCCTTTTTCTTTCGCTCGCTTCCAGCTTATAAGCTCCTCGCCATGGAGTGCATACTGCTCAACACACCTGGCTAAGCTGTTCAGATACCTTCTAGAGCTTGTCGTCGTCTTTGTAGCGCTCTCCATCAGCTGGAGATCCTGGACGCCATTTAGTGCTACGCCAAAATGTGCAAATAAGGCATCAGAATCGTTGCGGACGTCGAAAAAGATTTTTGGAATCTTTTCGTCTTCCAAAACATCTTTGAGCGTGAGGCCTTTGGTGCCGGTGGTGTTGAATGTTTGTCGGCCGAGAGAATACACATCGATGACGTAAACGCGTAAGGTCGGGATTCCTGTATCAATCAAGAGGGTGAAGATGGAGAGCGACCCTTCTCTGCAGAGGTTCACCCCTTCGAGATCGACATACATCGTTGGCTCGTACGGCTCAGGAGGTGCATGGCGCAAGACGAGCCAGTCGACTAGATCGCCGATCTGCTTTGGAGTGTTGATGATCTCTATCTTGATCTCCTTCATGTTAAACGCAGTGTAGAGTGGTCTTTGTTCAGTGTTCACCGCTGTTTGCTTGGAAGATCAAGTAGTAGGTCGAGGTGAAAAAGTTGCAGGCACAAAGGAGTGTATTGAAGTCGTTCTTCTCTCCTTCTTCTTGAAGCTCAGGAACTGGTGAGTTATTTCTAGACCGAGCTGGTCTGAGATAGAACATTCTAGATACATGATACATCGTGGTAGGCTTGTATAGAAACATAGAGATATATCTCCAATCTTTTCCGTGGCAGGCAACACAGATATCGGCGAATGAACTACTGCCAAGCATATCGTATATGCAGTTATCGCAATTGGGCAGCCATGAGACAAAAACGAAGCGGGGTGTTTTTCCTGGAACACCAACTGATCGTTGGCGGGAGCATTAGGGATGCCACGTCAGTGGAACGGTAACGTCCCTGAACTGGTGGGCATAGTGACTTGAGACACTTGTTGGTAGGCCTCTCGCACGTGGCTTGCAGACTGCATCTGCAGGCCATGCAGTTGATCAGGCGGTGACCTGATAAGGCCAACCCCGCAATGTGCGATGCTCGTTGGGGCGTTGAGTCTCGGTGTCGGCTGTCAACAAAATCTGCGACAAAGAGACTGCCGCAGGCCGACCAACCGGATGATAAGCTCCGTCCAGATAGCTAGACTGCGGTTAGCGCACAGTGAATCTCCTGAATCGTGATAAGCAAATGTGCACGGAAACACTTCAAGAGTATGGGTGTGGCCGGTGTCTGCATCGCAGTGCCTCGCGCAGAGATATGGAGAGGCTTGTGCTCACCCATGCCCCTACAGAGCTTTTTTTCTGCGGCAGCTGCCGATCCCCGTTCAGCAAAAAAGATAACATCTGGAGGCACGAACAGAGCTCCATACCTTGTCGTCGTCAAGGGAGGTGTGAATGATGCTGTCATAGTCTCTCTCTAGCGCTTCATTTAAGCAATAAATAGTCTCTCACCAAAAGTTGCCAGAGATCATAGTTGCGAATGGTGCAAGTCGTCCTTTCTGTGCCAGCAGCAGAACGATGGAGAATTAGTTGGTGGTTCATCCCAGAACTGTGAAGCGGATAATGAAACCACAAGCGCGAACGAGGAGATGAATGCGTCCTATCTGTTCTTGTTGCCTACCCGAGTTGTGCCGCACTTCTCGAACACACAATGCGCCGTCGGTGCAGTTGGCTGATGCAACGTAGGCGGGGAACAGTCTTGATCTGACCCGTGTCTTTGTTGCCACGTCAGACCCAAGCATCGTGCAAAGCCGCATGCATTGGTAGTGCATGAAGTCGTTGTTTCTTGGCGACTTCACAGACAGATTCTGTGTTGTTCCATGCTGACTGCCACGTCATTGAGACTGTTGTGTGATAGGGCATGGGGCATGCTTCCATGTGACGTGTCCCCGGATCAGTGCTCCGGGGCCCTGGTCTTCTGGTGCTCATATGGCTTTGGACGTAGTCGCCTCATTCGCCTTAGCTAATGGGGCTCGAGTGATACACATTTTTTTGGAACTGACAAGACCTCAGATATTGCCAAGACGATAGAGGATGCCTACAGTCGAACTTCGAAATGGGCGTCCACTTTCGCTAGACGTACAGTACTGTAGGCTTTCCGCAAGGCTCTGTGACTGACAACGTCAGCCGTAGCAACCGCGACTGGAAGGCAGCAAGGCGACGCCATACTAATATCAGGCAATGGTCTTAGTGCTGCGTGCCATAGTCCTGGCCCTGGCGGAAGGTTGACTACGGTGTGAAACTTCCTGTGGGTTATGTTGGCCACGTCACCCGGAGGGTATCGCGCGCCACGCCTGTGGCAGTGGAGTTGTAGTGCCCGGGGTAGCAACGCGAGCACTGAAATGAGCTGCCACAAGTGTGGAGTAATGAGGAAAGCAAAGTCCTGGGGACCTGGCAAGGCCGATCGTGTAGAGGGCGACGACCTGCAAGAAGTTGGCTCTTCTGAGGGTCTCGGTGTCGAACTAACCAGACTTGTGGTCAGCGGCAAGCAGGGCAGAAGGTTCGTTTCTGCAGAGGCTCTACCAGCTGCGCCGCAGGAACCCTGACGCGCCCAAGTACTGTTCCAAGACTGTCAGTTATCTGGAGAAGGCGAGGTTGCGAAAGGCTGCAAGGCGCTCCGAAGGCGTCGGCGTTGACGCCCAGCAGCTCGACTAGCCTAAGAACGACTTTGTCGGCGAGATTGAGATGCCCTGGTCCGTAAAGACCTTCAAGATGCTCGTCATGTTGGCCAAACCGAGAAGATGACGATGTCGTCCAACAGTCTGTCCATCAAGCGTTGCAGATAGGCTGGTGAGTTGCGATAATCCATGAGTGTAACTGTGGAACGCTCGAGGCTGCGATGAGTCACCAAGGCAAAACAGTCGCGATAGTTCAGATGTACCAGGGACTGGTGGAAGAGTGCGGTGGCGTCAATGACGGTAATGAAGGTCTTGCCGCGTAGGGAGGTAATGACGTCTGCCTGCAGTGGGGCCGGATAATTGTCAGGCACGGCGACGCGAATCAAAGCCTTCCAGTTAATGGCCATGCGGCCCTTCTCTTTACCATGCACGGTGCGCCACACCACCTAGACAGGATGCGCAAATGGGGTGCGCAAGCGAAGTCGCTTCATCTACCCGTGCCATACAGCCTTAATTGTGCAAGCCGTCCAGGGTGGCAAACCGTTGACGAGTGGCATCTTCATTTGTTGGGGAAACTGGCGGCCAGGTTGGCGCAGAGGACGCTGATTAGGGGTGAAAGTGGATGCCGTTATCGAGGACGCGCTCTCACAGGTTGACGGGCTTCTTGACTAGGATTCGTGGTGCGAGATGGCTTCTCCTAGCCTGCTTCGGACGCAGACTTGACTTCGTCATGGTGAAGACTGCGTCGGCGAGGGAGTGCGCGATGCCGCTCAATGGGGCAGTCAGCGGCGACTCTCCCGTCAGGATAGAAGTGACGGTAGGTGTCATGTCGAAGCTTCCCCGGAGGAGCGCAGTGGGGGCGGTCTCTACCTGGGCGCTGGTACGAGCGCCTGGAAGGACTCCTCCGACAGTGACCGCGGCTGCCGCACCAGTGGTGATCGCTTTGGCGGCACTGCTCCATGAGGTTGGGAAGAAGCCGCTGTCTCTGTTTTCGCGAAACCTGTCCAGGCAGGTTCGGTGTCTTTGCCGCGGTGGTATATGTTGATTGGCGGGGGGACTGTCACGATACCCCTTCTGGGTATCTTACGGAGGCGTATTTGGGGGCGGCGGTTGACGTCGAAGTTCGACGCCGAAGCTGTCGAGCGATGCGGTCAGAACTGATATTAGCACCATGTAGCTTGACGAGGTCATTCCCAATGAGCATGGCTGGACCAAAGCTGTTCGCAACTGCCCATCCCTCCTCGACAAAGCGCATTGTGTGTGCTTGACGTTCTTGTCGGAGATGGCGGTGTTCGACATCCTGGGAGCCGGGCTTGGTGCGCGCCTTGACACACAGGTAAGAGTAGGTGCTAACAGAAGTGTGAGAATCACCCTTGAGCGCAGGGAACCCTTGGCCACGCGTAGCTGGGTCGGAACCAGGGGCGTCGGACCGGGTTCCGTGTCTTGGAAAGATATGTGGGCGGCTGCTGCGTCGCAGAGCTTCGAAAATCGCGTTGCAGACGCAGGTACGGTTCTTGGCGTCAAGCGGAGAAGGTTTGGCCACCACCTGGCCGATGTCATGGGCGCGCGGCGCAGTGCACTTCTTCTGGCGCAGCTAGCCATGTGCCTTGGACTCGAATGTCGTTTGGCAGTGCAAGCACGTGGTCTGTCGGGACACGGTAGAGAAGTAGGGGTCGGCAGGCGACCTCTAGCGTCTCTGGAGAAAGTCCCGTATCGGCCAGGATTTCAAACGGAATCCGAGAAGGTCCAGACAATTGTCTGATGAGAGACCCCAAGGTATGATCGAGATGTACAGAGCTTCCTAGGCTTCGCCAAATTCCATGGGGATCTAGTCAAGGGTATGTGGAACCCAGTAAGAGGCGGCATTCCAAAAGATGAAGGAGACGCTCGCGATTCTCGCCGATCATAAAAACCTAGAATTCTACGACTCATCAGCGAACGCCAGGCGCGATGCGGAGGGATGCTCTCATCGGATTAGGGCCTCCGCTACCGCCCAGGTACACAAGCCCTCCTGGGCTAGTCGGTCAGTGCTGCCGTCTTACACGACTGGCTACGTGGACCAACCTGATGTGATTATCGCAGGCTAGCTGACGCTCGGCCACAGACTACTTGAAAGCCAAGAAGGTCCGGATGATCGGGGCATTACTCCGTCCCATCCGCACCAACACCGACAGACGCCTCAAAGGCTGTGCAAGTGAGAACAGCCTGTGCCTACAACGGCGCACCAGTGACGACGGTCCCAACCAATGCGAGTCATACATGCTGGGTAATTCCCAGCGCCAGCTGTATGAGAAACAGATCTGGCCCCTACCGGACCCAAAAGAAGTGTTGTTGTCACCCAGGACGTTGGACGGCATCATCACGGATCTGGCTGGCTCTTGCACCAGCCTTCCCCTGGCGGGCCACGACTTGTGCAGGGCTATATCAGAGTCGGAGCGAACGGTGGATCCGTCTAAGAAGAAAAGGATCCAGCAGTACACGACTGACTTCAAGTACTCCGCCTCGCAAGCAGAGAAGACGCACATCGCTAGACAAGCGCATCTGACTGGAGTGGAGGATTTCGATCTTCGAAAGCTGCTCGAGACCCGACATGTGCTCTTCGCATGAGACTGATGAAACAAGAAAGCGACGAGTGTTCTGTATCCGCGGTGGTGTGAGAACTAATTACTGTCGTGGACGGGACGAACTCATAAGACCTCGTGGCTCGTCCAAGCTGGATCAATAGAAGTTCTGGTACTCAGTTACTGCTGGAATCAAGTCTGGAACGGACATAGCCAAGGGCCGTGTCTGGACTAAGAGTTCGCGATAGTGGAACACGGTTTTGTGTGGCTGTTATCGCAGCCACGGTCCTGAGTGCATGCATGGTCACTTGATGCGTGGTCATCCGTAGAAAGTCGCTGTACTTGTGCTCGTGCCACAGCCAACATGTTTTCCTGAAGCATCCGCTCGGCAACAATAGATCCTGTCGCTATCATCTGACCATGGCCAATATAGCCTCGCGGGGGTTTCCGCATCATTGTAGAGGCCGTCACAACCGCACAGATACGCGATCCGGCTTACTCGCCCACCAGTCTCCGTAGCGGTGCCTGGTACCTTTATGAAACATCTTCCCAGCTTGGATGTTACCACGATGCGCCAATGCTGCAGGTGTACAGGTTGTCATTAAGTTGTAGAGCAGGAGCCGCACGAGGCAAAGCTTACACAGGTGGTGTTCTGTTGGCCACCCTTAAGGTAGCGCGCTGCGGTCTGCGATCTGGGACAGGTCTAAGGACTAACAGTTGGAGTCATCAACGACCTGGACATTGCGTGATTGATTGGCACTCAACTTGTACAGAGCACACTCACAAGATGAGCCGGCGACTTCCTCAGATCGCGCCTGGTAGAGCTCAAAAGGGTTCAACTGGCAGCAGTATGGACGCATTCCATCTGTGGAGGTCAAGATGCGGGCATCACTCTTGCAGATGTTTTCCTCTCCCTGCATCTTGATTGTCTCCCGATCTCACGGCCGACGAAGGCAGGCCCACTCTAGATGATATGATGGGTTGCCTGCAAACTTTGCTAATCTAGAACCTAGCGTGTGCGAAGGCGGAGTGGGAGTTCGCGGTGTTCTAGGGGTCATCATGCTGGAGAGCAGATATGCGCTGTGGTCTAGGGGGTTAAGCTCCAACAGCTATAAATGACGTTGTTGGCTGCGTGAAGCTGGCGGTGGCAATCTGAAATTGAGGAAACTACTCCCATGGAGTCGGCGAGGCCAGGAAGTACGTCGTGACTAGTTTGTCCACAGATGCGGGTGAACACACGTTCGACGGTGACTGTGCGTTCAATCAAGAACGAAGGTGCGTGTTCAGTTGAATGCGAGCCGTCTACGGGTAGCTTCAGGCGCCGGTTGCAGCCCGTGGATAAGGCATCACTGATTTCTGGGGTCAGTGACAGGGAGCGAGGTGTTCAAGTCTCCACGCCGTCTCTTTCGGCGGAGCAGGCATTTGCTCTGGAGGCATTGAGCGTGAGGGCCCCACTACTTGGGTACCTACGCTAGCGTGGATGACAGCTCAACCCCTCCAGGAAATTGTTCTAGGCCATGACGGCGCTGATCGACCGCTACCAACCCCAGAGCTTCCCCGCATGCCTCACTGCCCTGTCATCGTTCCCTCAGCGTAGTGACCCTAATTTAGTGAGACAGCCTGTTTGAATGACGACCAAGTGTAGCCTAAAATCCAGTGGTCGCTTGAGGCCGAAGATAAGGACTCTCAGCTCAAAACTCTACGAAGAGCGTTCTGCAATAAGGTTCTCGGCTGCGATTTCTCTACCTGAACTGCCCTGCCTGAACTGCTCTACCTGATTTGCTTCACGTAAGCTCACCCTCCAAAAGCGTGAGACCCCCATGTGGTCAACTACGCTGTTGCTGTAGCCCCTGCTGCTCTTGAATGACTAATAGAAACTGCGACCTATGCTTTCACGGACTACAACACCCAGTTGACGACTATGATACATGGCGCACCTCTCAGATTGATGACAAGTCCAAGTCATGCACTTTCTTTCTTGTCCGTACAGCCTGCAGTGCGCGACAGTTGCGTATTGTCTGCTGTGTCGTGTGTAGGCAAGCTCTTCGGCTTGATGCGAATGCAAACTCTACTTGGGACTACGAGGGAGCTCATCGCATGATGTACGATATGTCGATGAAGCCGCACCAGAAATAGACCTTTGTACAACGCCAGCTACACAAACCTTACTGCGAGGCAACTTCAGTAGGCTTTGGGTTAGAGCGAAGTCAAGGGCCACGTTCAGAGCCTGGAAACCACAAGTTTCAAGGCGCTGCCTCTCGCCCACAAGCGACAGCTCTCGGACATGCTTGCGTTATTAAGGCAGTGAAACAGGTTTATTTTCTGTCTCCGCACTCACGTGCTGATCCATTTGTATCGTGGTAGCATGACACCACAGAACTCGATCGCTCAGTCCAATATCTGGACCACTCGGTCCAATATCATCTGTCCTTTGGCACGCTCAATATAAAATCACCAGCCGTGCCCGGCAACTATCGTTCCTGCTACAACCAGAGCAGCCTCGTATGCAGATCACAGAACAACTGCAGCGACCTGCAGCAGATTCGCCCCGTGCGGTGGTATTGTACAGTCACGAACACTATCAACACTGTCAAGACGCATTAATTCTACAGGAGATATATTGCTCGAGAAGTCAACACGTCATGAGTCAAATCTGCACTGAAGGAAGTGAAGACCTGATTCCAACAATGGACAGGCTTCAGACTGACGAGCAGCGCAAAGTTCTCGATGCCATCACTGACTTACGAAAGTGCGGGCTCGATAGCATTCTTTCTCTCCCGGATATCGTTGTTTGTGGAGACCAATCGGCCGGCAAAAGCTCTGTGCTCGAGGCATTGACAGAGATACCCTTTCCTAGGAACGACAACCTCTGTACGCGCTTTGCAACGGAGATCAGTCTACGTCGGGCAGTCGCAGACAGCCTCACTGTCAAAGTGGTTCCGGACAGCGCCCGGCCGGAAAAGGACCAAATCCGAATCAAGGAGTTCTCTGAATGCATAACAGATATCAGCGATCTGCCCATCGTCATAGATGCTGCAACACGTGTCATGGATATCACCACGGACAGGGACGATAATGCGCAGGCTGCAGATGCAAGGAAGAGTGCCTTTTCCAAGGACACATTGAGCATCGAAATTAGTGGTCCTTCACGACCCCAACTCACTGTGATCGACATTCCCGGACTCATCCAGTCTTCGACGAGAGGGGTATCCGAAGAAGATGTTGTAACGGTAACAGAAATCACAGATCGCTACATTAAGCAACCTCGGACGATTTGCTTGGCCGTCATTTCCGCGACCAATGACGCAGCCAATCAGTCTATCCTCCGACGAGTGCGAAACTTTGATCCGGCAGGGAAGCGAACACTTGGCGTCATCACCAAACCTGACCAGCTGCCTGCCGGATCTGGCACCGAGTCCAAGTTCCTTGAGCTTGCCCAGAACAAGGACGTGTTCTTCAGTTTGGGCTGGCACGTCATTCGAAACCGTCGGTTTGACGAGAAAAACTTCACTTTCCACGAGCGGAACACTGCGGAAGCTCACTTCTTCCAAGCGTCAAACTTCAACGTTCTCCCCTCAGATATGGTCGGCATCGCGGCGCTACGAGAGCGGTTGAGTCTGCTTTTGTTCCAGCACGTCAGGGCCGAACTTCCGCAACTCAATGCGGAACTCGAGAGAGCACTCGCAAAGGATCTTGGTCAGCTGAAGACGTTAGGAGACTCGCGACAAACACCTTCAGCATGCCGCATCTATTTGACACAGTTCAGCATCGAGTGTCAGGAAATCTGCAAATCAGCCATCAACGGCAACTATGAGCACGACTACTTCAAGACTAGTGACGACGACATTGATGAAGAGTTCTCGTTGGAAGATGAAACGACAATCGCCAGACTGCGGGCCGTGATCCAGCACATCAATCATAATTTCAGCCAAACAATCCGCAAGAAGGGTTACAAGTACCATCTTGAAGCGCCAGGGGAGGGGGCAAAGCAGGTAGACAGTATGAGCTTGGGGGAATTCCTCTCCAAGTCGAACTCACCAAAGCGGCTTTCCAGGACGGAATCGGTAGCTTGGGTGAAAAAATTGCTTCAGCGTTCCAGGGGTCGAGAATTGATGGGCAATGTCAATCCGTATCTCATCGGTGAGCTGTTCTGGGACCAGTGCAGACCCTGGGAGCACTTGGCAAAGGATCACGTCCACAGCATCAGTCAACTCTGTGAGAAGTTTTGGGCGAATCTCTTGAAACATAGAGCTCCGCAGGATATCAGAAGTCGCATATGGTCAGTCAGTCCTTGAATGCATTCACATCGAGCTTCGGAATACTGACCGCAACTTCGGCTAAGGGCGAGGATGGTGCACAAACAGCTTCAACTGCGAAAGTCGGCAGCCTCGCAAGAGCTAGGGAAGCTTCTTGAAGATCTCAGGGGCTTTCCTATCAATTATAACCACTACTACACTGACATGATCCAGCGTCGGCGGCAAGAGAGGCTTGAAAAGAACTTGGGAGTCTTCATGCCAGCCGCGTTTCCGCATCAGTCATATGAGAAATGCAGCCGTGGCTCTCACTACGAGAAGTATGTCCCCGAGCTCGACATGAACCGAGTCGTCCAAGCTGTGATGAAGAGCAACGCTACTACCATTGACATGGACACATTCAGCATCGAAGAGGCACTTGACTGCATGCGAGCGATCTACAAGGTGCAGTACAAGACCTTTGTTGCCAATGTGACAACCCAGGTGATTGAGAGGCATCTGGTGAGGGGCCTCGAGAACATTGTTTCGCCGCTTGTGGTTGTGAAGATGTCGGACAGTGAGGTGGAGGCTATAGCCTTGGAGCAGACGACAACCAAGCAGCAGAGGATCATGCTGGTGAGCCGGGTCCGAATATTGGAGGAAGGCCGTGCGATCTTCCAGGAATTGATTGGGTCTTAGCTTGGATTTTGATCACTTGTCTGCCAAGTCTTCTGTCATGTCTTACGAAAGCTCTAGAAAATGTCATAATCCTAGACTTGACCGCAGACATGGTTCTCTTTCGCATGGGTCTTCGCGCGTGGAGAGTACCGAGGGTCACTGGCAGCTCGCCTGCGCGACCGACACAGCACTCGAGCGTTATTCTGATCACGGCCGTGGCCCCGCACACCGGCCTCGCTGGTTCCCCGTGACTCACTCTTTTTCGGCAATTACAGATAGGTCGCGCCACCCCCGACGGAACTGAGCACATACCGGTGTGCAGGGGCCAGGTGAACTGTATCGCGACATCTACCACAGACTTGCTGACGTCAGTGCCGTAGAGCACATGATGGGTCTAAGGAGCACCACGCCACATACCATACAATTCTTTCACAGTTTACTAAGCTGTATAATAATGAGGGATGTTATAGTAGCATTGTGTACTATATGTACTAGGATTCGGAGCACTAACACAGTTCCTCGGAAAACTGGACTAGTATCGATTGTTTCTATAATGCATAGATATATGTTGTCACGATCCGGTTTCTGTAAGGCCAGTGGCCTCAACGGTCCTATATAAGGTGCTGGAAGCCCTGAGTACGCCGTGCGGTGTACTGATAGATCTTTTGGTCTATTGGTCGAGCGGTTACAGGGCTCCGTTCTTACACCTAGAAAGTGGAAGGTAAGCCACCAGTGAATTGTAGTTCTTAAACCATACGTGCTCGCTAAATAAGATATTACTCCTATTCATAGAGAATAACGAGTCTTAAGTAAATATTTGGAATGATACTTAAATTATTATTATTGGTAGTACGCGCTGCCTATCTAGGGTTCGCGGTGCTACAAATCCATCGTATAATAACTCGTGCCGGAGCCGGATGAGAAATATATGCTACGTATTCGGTACGCCTGAGTGGCGTCTAGGTTGCGTGGTTCCGTCGCGTATCTCGAATGGCCCTTACCAGCCATACGTTATTTGGGCGAGGTTAGCCGCCCTCCTCCACGCCTCCAAGCCTGTGCAGCTCCTGGATGTGTGGGATTCCTAGGGGCGTGTGCGCACCGCCAGAGCTGCGCGGGCACGTCGTTGGCGGCGCTCTTCTTACGGAGGTCGTCGTGTATGTCGGCCTCGGTATCCAGGGCTACCAGTGACAGGTGCTGCCGCCCCCTTCACGTCGACGGTGGTATTGCCGTCGTCGTCGTGATTCCTTCTCTCCTCCTTCAAGCCACCGTCAACGACCCTCGACGGTCGCGCCGACGTCGCGCCGTTCCAGCATCGTTATCGACGGCCTCGCGCTGACCTCCTTCACAGTCGCAGCAACAGCAGCAGCAACAACAACGATGGGTACGTTGTGGCCTTCAATCTCACCCTCACTTCACCTGCTAACTCCGCCATGTTTCAGACCCCAACCTTCTCGAGCGCGCCCTCCCCAGGGACGCCGAGGACGAGGCGAGCGCGCGGCTCGGAACCGTGGCCGCCGGCGCCTCTGCGGCTCCGGGCGAGGCAAGAGAGCGGCTGCACCAGCACCAGCACCAGCAACAACCCCCGGCCCCTCCCCGGACGCCTTCCCCGACGCCACAAGTGGACGGCCCGTCCTCGCCTTCGGCGTCGGTGAGTATCGCTCGCGTTTCGTAGCCGTAGCGTCGTCGCTCTCGTGTAGCTGATATACCTCCAGACGGAGAAGAAGAAGGAGGTGCTGGCCAGCGCCGTCCGCGACTAGCCCTGTGCGTATGCGCATCGCTGTTGCGACGTCCTTGGGGGCAAGGGCTGGCGGTGCTGGTCATGCACTAAGGGTAACAAAACTTGCGTCGCCGTAAGTCCTCCGTCGCGCCGACGCAGTGCCCGCGCGGTGTCCTCGCTCCTCTCGCGCGGTTCTATCGTGTTCCGCGGGTGTTCATGGATGGTGCTGTGGTGTCGGTATCGCTCCGGAGTACCGATGCGGTCGATGCGCTCTCGGCCACCTCGAACCGGCGGGCCCGGTGGGCGAATGCCTCGCGAACTCGCTCGCGCTCCGCCTGCGCTGCTCTGCAGCGCCTGTCCCATGCTGCGTGTGGTCCTTGGCAGTTGACGCATGCCTTCCTGGCGCTCGGTGCCGCCCTCGTACAGCTCTTCTCGCCACCCTCGTGCCCCGCTTCGCCGCGGTGTCCGCACCGTGGTTTCGTCTTGCACCCGGGCCCGGTGGCCGTAGCTGTAACAATTGTGCATTGAAGGAATCGGAGGTTAGGGTTGTAAGGTTTGCAGTTGAAGATCCGAGCCTGCCAGACCAGTCCGCGCTGCGCCAGCTCCTGCGCTGCGTACCGCTAGGGCGCATTCATCGTGTGCGGCCGCTTCCACCCACTGGTTGTCAAAACGCCCGGGCTTGGCCGCTTTGCTCGCGGAGGCAATCGTAATATCGCCGCATTGAAGGCGCGTCGCTGCTAGAGCGTCCCCGCCGCGCAGGGCCGCATTCACAGCCTCCACCGTCGCTTTCAGGTCCCTGTCAGGGAGTGTGTTCCTTTCGGGGGTGGATATTATCGCCTGCCTCTCCCTGCGTTCAGGGATGACACCCCGGGGCTGCCGCCATGCCGGTGCGGGGTTTGTTGCCAGCTCCTCCTCCCTAAAGTGGCAAGTGGGGTGGGGCAACGCGGCTTAACATTCGTCAGGTCTTTGATAGGCCATCGCGCAGCACGCATCGTGCACGATTATGCCAAGCCCAATCGGAAGGATGATGATCATGATGGCACGTCTTTATTTCTAAGGTTTTTCGAACCTGTCTGCCATTTTTCGCGGTGCTATTACGTATCTGGCCCAGGTCCCCGTTGATCCCGTTAGAAAGCGAACGGACGCCAAGCCAATTGTTTGTTTACGTTCTGTCGGCTAGACCCCAGCATCTGACTCCACCCTTCGTCTCGCCCAGCTGGAGCGGTTTGTTTGTAGTACAGTAATCTTAAATGCGGTGTTGGGGTGGTTGGGACCGCTACTCACGCGACTTTAGGCACGGCTGTGGAAAAAGTTCCACGCCCGTGGAAAAGCTTCCACGCCTGTGGAGAAAGTTCCACGCCCGTGGAAAAGCTTCCACGCCCGTGGAATAGCTTCCACGCCTGTGGAGAAAGTTCCACGCCCGTGGAAAAGCTTCCACGCCCGTGGAATAGCTTCCACACCCGTGGAAAACTTCCCCAGCGCCCCGCATTTCGCGAACCCCCTTTTGGCCAAAGCGACGTCTCTCAATCATCTTTGCGTCTTCATTCTCCGTGTTATCACTGCCTATGGAGGCTATGAAGTATTTTGCCCTGGGCCGGGCTAAGATCGACTATAAAAGTGACGGCGCCCCACCATGCGGTTGGACATTTCCTTCATTCGAAGATTTAGAACGGATCGTGTCATTGTTTGCCAGCCGACATGGATACAAGGCCAGAACGAAGGAGAAGAGGGAGAGGACCCGATTCTATGTCTGCGGATATAAACAATGTCCCGTTGCGTGGAGCGCACAACGAGTGGTCGACAAGTTTCCTCCGCTCTCAGATTCGCTTGAGGTGGTCCGCATACAATATTCAACCACGATCAGCCACAACCACCAGCTTACCGCTCGTCCGGAGCCAAAACCCCTTCCAGTCGATATGATCTGGCTCGGAGTCCCATTTGGCCCCCTGGTTGAGGAGGGTCGATCTGACTCCGCTATACCATTAGGTGTTCCGATGTCTCAGGAGGGGAAGAGGCTAAAGTCGTCTGCTCTCGATCTAGTAAATGTCGAGCCGCATTTCAAACACCAAGAACATGACGATGACGAGACCGTATGGGTCTATGAGCCGTTGATCATGGCGATCTCGGCAACCATCAAGAACCCTTGCCTTACGATGTCGGCGACTTTAACATGGAGTGCAGACTTGTTCCGAGACCTTCGCGAACAGCTTGCCGATGCCACATCTGAGAGGAAGAAGCTCGTTCTTCTCGGATGCATGTCAACGCCCATCCTGGTGCCGGAAGGGCCCTCTTTCGATGAATATTGCGAATATATGAAACTGTTTATGGACAACAATGCTTTTATTAAAGCATATCCTACCACGGAGGAGGCAACATTCCAGGCAAGCAAAGTTGGCGATCTTAGAATCCTCGACGAGTGGGCCGCAAAATTCGACGGCCAAGGAATGAGCTGGCTCGAATACCGACCCATAACGTGCGATGGTGGGCTATCGGCGACGTGTAACCTGCCACCCTCTCATGGTGGCCGCATGGTTATCAAGCCGACACATAGCAGCAGTGGAGAGGGAGTCAAGCTTGTTAAAGTCAGCAATCGCAAGGGACTGAAGTGCCGAATCCCTGGGAACAAATGGGATGCCGATATTCAGCCCAGGAACCATCTCTTCCACCAAGAGTATGTCGACTCATTAGTCAAATTTGGCGAACTTCGGGTCTGTATGGTGCGTGATCTATCTCAAGAGGCTATAGACGGTCTCATTCCCCCAGGTAAGATCATTAGTATCACCATCACCAGACCAACCACTTCTGCCGGCAAGGTTCAATTCTCGGATATGAATCAGAGTCCATTCAGTCACGAAATATTTGGGCAAGGAGTTGGGGATGAGCACGCTCAAAAGCGCAAGTATCATGAACTGAAGCAGTTCGCCTCTCTGTGGTTTGCCATTCTTTTTAGGCTTGCCGATTTTGAACCTGGTCTTGCCTCACTTAAGGATGGCGTACGTCTCGACATTGGCATCTCAGAAGTCGCAACCGATGGGCGATTTTTCATTAATGAAGTCACACGATTGTGGAATGCGTCAAGCTTTTCAGAGGGGAACTCTACTAACGTTCAAGAACAATGGGGCGAAGCTATTGGCTATTCGTGTACACAGCCTCGATGTTGGCAGCAATACCCCGAGCTGTTAGAGACTCTTGGGACAGAAGGAAGTGAGGTGGGCTTACCTGGACGCCCCGCGAAGCGACAGCGGCCCGGATAAAGACGTACTTTCAACATCTCGTCTTGCTGGTTATTATCAACTCTTTATTC